CCGCGAAGAAAGACAGCCACCTCGCCATTCGTGGCGAGAGGTGTGGACTGTTTACGGCCGTGCGTAACGATGAACGGTCGGTATAAGTGATGAAGGGCCTATCTCCTAAGAGATAGACTCTGAACTTCGCGAGTGCATACTTCATGGCAAGGAGTTCTTTGTCATGCACTGGATAGTTCCGCTCAGCTGGTTGCAGCTGACGCGACTGATAACAGACGACGCGCTTGACGCCGTCTGTGTCGTACTGCATTAACGCGCAGCCGATTGCAAAATCGCTGGCGTCACAGACCACATGGAATGGTCTGTCCTGGTCTGCAATCGTCAACACAGGCGATTGTATAAAAGTTTTCTTGTTTCCTTCGAGGGAGTGCTGAAACCCAGCACTCCATGGCCACATCTAGCTTTCTCAAACATACGAGAGAGATGCACGGTCATATCGGCGTCGTTGCGCTAGTGCTTGTGCTAGTACACCGCTAAGCCAAGTAACATTCAAGGTCCCTTGATTACGACTGGCATAGATCATTCGCTAATCGCCTTGATCTTTTCCGGATCAGGGCATTTGCTGTTTTTACTCCCGATGCAGCCAAGAAGTGGTATTTCGCTGGCTGCGAATATACACACATTAAGGTTCGCGAACAACTCATGCTATCGCATTCGTGTAAGAACCTTCCGGACGTAGTTTCTATGAATCTCTACGTCCGTCTTTCTATCCATGGATCGGCTATGGAAGAAGAAATCGTCAAAGTAACTCGGTGCTAAGTCTCGCCCAAATCGCAACAGATTTGTAACACATCTGTTAAACGTTGCAGGGTCGTTACTCAGCCCCTGTGGCATCACTAGCCACTCCCAGAGCATACCACTGAGGGTGCTCATTGCTGTGTACGGGATGTCCCGTTCTCGCATAAGGATTTGATAGAAACCAGCCATCAAATCCATGGACGAAAAGATGGTACTCTTTGACATACCATCAATGATTACGTCCTTCTCGGTATAGGCGTCTGAGCCGGTACCGTTGCAGCATTCAACTGGTTAAATGCATACACTGTCCGCCACCCTCCTGTTGCTTTTCGCACGCAGAAGGTCGGAGAGCTATGTGGGAAAGTTGATTCCCTCACATGGCCCACAGCTAAATGATCGGCAAAGAACTTGTCGATCGCAAGTACTTGTTCACGAGGCAGTGGCCACTGCTTCATGACACAGTACTTCGAGCCTGGTTTAAGATCGACCTCGTGTCGAATACCTTTTTTCTTCGGTAATTCGCGCGGAACAGTTTCAGGGAATACATCCTTGAATTCAACCAAATCTTCGTAGAGAGGATTTTTCTTGAGCGATTCCCACGATTGGAAGTCATATCGCTCAACTCGTGTCTTTTCATCTAGGACACTCTCGTCCATAGAAAAACTACTGAGAACTCTCTCGTTCTCAGTAAACACTGTTGCTGAACTTATGTCGGTTACACACTCGTCGTCAGCGACGAGTACGCAGATCTGCTTGACTTTGCCACTACGCAGATCACGCAAGAACCTTTTGTGTTCGAGCGTTGGCAATTGAGTGATCTCCGATGTCAACTTCGGAGGCGCAATCAGATTAAGTGTATAAGCGCCTACACTTGATCCGTGATTGACTATGACATTCAATGTCTCTGTCATTTCTTGGGGACTTATTCCCTCAGGCCTCGAATGACTTATTCCTTCGGCTCCCCGGGGACTTATTCCCTCGGGTTTCGGGGAACTTATTTCCGCCGTATTTGTAATATTGGGACTTCTTCCCTTTACTTCCTCTAGCTGGGGTTGCGCAACCACAGCGAGATACTCTACGAAAGACTCTCCAGTCGATCTAGGAATATCGTTTCGCTTAACCTGAGCGATCGATTGTTTCTCTTCTAGATGTTCCCCGCTAGGGACACATCTTTGTCCCAGTCCACCCGACTTATTCGAGTGGTGGACCTTCGGCGCAGCCTGTGTTTCCTCACAGCCGCCGGAACTTTGCTCCGAAGTGTGACCGTTTGGTACACTAAGGTTTTGTGCAGTCGTACTAACGACCGTACCACAAGTGAGGTCATCGCACTCACTCGTAGTACATCCACACGCTTGTGGACGCTCAAAACGTTCATCAGATGGCCATCTGATGAACAAGCGGCAGGCATCGTTACTGTCCGATGTTGCCAGTTTACCCGTGGTTCGTACCTTCTGAGCCACGGTATTCCAAGGATGACATCAAATTTGTCATCCAAATCCAATACGATAAAGTCATCGTCATATTGGGTATCTTCTAGCGTATAGTGGATCTTCACTATACGCTTCATGACGGTTACGGATGCGCCTGTCGCAAGACGTACCTTCATCCTCGTAGGAGGTGTGTCACATTCACTGAACTTAAAATGACCACCTTCTAGCGATTGGCGTCGCACAAAATTGTTGGACGCCCCACTACCGACTAGAGCTCGAAGAGACAACTTATTCGTCACTTCGAGTTTCAAGGTAATGAGTGAGACCTCATTACCTAGAGCAGCAACGCACAACGTTTGTGTGTTGGGGGCAACCTTCGTCAAGAGGCCTGCAAATTCTCTTGACGTTGCTGTACCGATAGGGTGCTCCGCACCGACTGATCCTGTCGGTTTTTTGACGGTCCATCCCGTTGTTGCGTCTTTGCACCAACTGCGGACCCTCGTCCCTGCCCCTTCCTCATGGGTGGACGGTCACTACGCCCAGTGTCGCGAGACACTGGACGAGGGGCACTACACTCGTAAGCGTAGTGTCATGTCTTTTGACATCTGTTGCATCTCTGCAACTTCTTGTAGTCTGTAGAGCGAACCTTCTCGCTCTCTACATAACAGAGTTCCATCGGCTCTGGACCTCCTCTGTCATATCGTCTCGGTTGACGATATAATGTCGAGCTGGCGCGAGCCTGTCGCAGACTGAAGTCTTCCTGCTCCGCAATGGAAATGGCTTGTTCTAGTGAATCTAATTCAAGCCGGAACAGGTGAGTCTTTACGGAACCATCCGCAAGACCCTGCATGAACACCGAAACCAACGTGTGTTCATCAACCGGGTTGGAACTTGAACAACTCGTAAGATGTCGTATATGTTGCGCGTAAGCGTGCACATCACGCTTACCCTGCTTGAGCTTCAAGAGTTCGGTTCGAGCTCTGAACTCAGCTCTAGGCGGTTCAAACGTTTGTCTGAGCCGCGACTTGAAGACTTCCAACGACCCAAACGCATATGGGTCGTGCAACTTGAGCCCCAGTGCCCAAGTCTTGGCACATCCTGCCAGATTTGACTGGGCAAATGCAACTTGCATATCGCCGTCGTCGATGCGACGCGCCCTTATGGCGTCATCCAATTCGACGAACCATCTCAAGAGGGAGTCCTCTTTGACTCCCCTATACTTGGAGATGTCAATCTTCAAGGTTTCGGGTCGACGCGAGTGCATCGACCCACCAGCAGCAGCCTGCTGCTGTCTCAACAGTTCAAACTGTTGAGCACCCTGTTCTCTCAACAACTCTGCTTGTTGAGAACCTTGTTGGTGAAGCAAGGCTACTTTCTCGCGTTCAGCGTCAAGTTCATTTTGAATGAACTTGGCGATAGTAGCATGTTGGGCATCTCTATTGAGAGCCTCTAGCATGACGCTAACAGCATGGATGCCCATGGTCGAACCCATCCGTTCAACCGCAGCCCATTCGACATCGCTCAAATGGCAGTAGCCGTCACGCGTAGCGTGAAAGCTTTGGTCATCTCTATCATCCAACATATTCATGTTAGATGTGAACGTGGTCCTTGGACGGACTACGAAGTGCTACCAGGTGTAACGGGGCACCCTGAAGCTTGTACTGGTGACAGTACAAGCTGCTTGTTCTGATGACAGAGTAAGGCGGTGCCTCGTAACTTCACGTACACTCGTACGTGCAGAGGAAGACGGTAGGAAGAAGCGAGCACTTGGTTAAAGTAAAAAGTAGAACTGTATTTATCATAGTCAGTGTCTGTTAATGAATCACTATTTATCCTCATCTAACTATGTCTGAATACAAATGTGTATATCAATGACCTGCTCACCACTCACTGCGTGCGTCTGTCGTGGTGCGTCTTCGTTGGTTGATGTAATGGCCTATATCAACCAATTAGGAACTACTCGTAAGTGCTACAGAATGTTTGTCCTTATGACAATATTCTGAGAATATAACTCTTATAGTTATATTCTATTAACAATTTCTTACAAATTGTTATGTAACGATTCACCCCGTTACATTACCCCTTTACACGGCCTGTCCAGAGTGGCTAACTGCGGATTAAGAAATAAAAGAATAAAGGTTTGATTTGATGCTTCAGAGTAGTACACATTAATTTCGTGCTGATGTGGCGCTGGTTTTACGACTGGTGCCGGTATTGCGATTTTTGCATCTAGTTGGTGCCGGTATTGCGACTTTTTCACTTTTCAGTCTTTCACAGCGTAATCATTCAGTCACTTCATAAGAGCATAGTGGCAGTTTTGGAGTCACTTGAAAGCAGGGAACGTGACGGCGTTGCGCAAGTCTGGCACCGACAAGTTGGTCGTGTGCTACAAACACACGCAGAGCTGGGCGGCGTATAGTAGTATGTGGCACGCAAGGAGAATAGTGTGCTATTAACCGCAAGTGACAACTGAGTCCTTCGAGCAGGCACTGCGACTCGAGAAGTTGTATCGTGAGCAGCAACAGCTTCAGCAGGAGCGGGACGCACACCTGCTTGCTGTGATCCAACAAAAAGCAAACGACCGTGCTTGCCTTTATGACGACATTGACTTCACTGAGTCCATTTGCAACACTGTCTTCAATAGCTGGTACATGGGACCGCAGAAGAGGGAGGCACATGCAGATTGCTGCAACGCTCGCGTTTGGAACCTCGTCGACAGCCTACGATGAACTGCTCGTACTGCTTCGGTTTTTTCACGTCTACCTAAGCATCGGCAGACTTGAGCTTTGCTTGGTGGTCTGATCGGCCACGCTTAACACAATCCTGGAATCGATGCTCGAGCAGCTTGTACTCCGGGCCAAGCTGCATGGCAGCCCACATGGCACACGCAGCCTCTTTGAAAAGCCCGAGCGTTTCCAGGCACCGTCCCTCGCGGAATAGGGCCTAAGGCCACTCTGGACCCAGCTCCTTTGACACCCGCAAGTCATGCAGCGCTAGTTTGGTGTCGCCGGCACCCTAATATGCTGCACAACGATTGCTGTACAGCTAAGGTAGGGGGTTGTAACTGCGGTAACCTGAGCGGAAAGCTTGACTGATGATGCATAGCATAGTCTTTCGCCAGGTAGGCTTTCTTGCCCTTAAGCCTCGCGGCTTCCGCCATCTTTTCTCCATTCACCTCTACAGCCTCAGGTACAGCAACGTCCTCTTCCTTTTCAATCTCAGCCAGCTTCTACCGGGTTTCAGCCTCCAGCTTCTCTTCCGCAGTATCAGGCTCCTTTGCTTCAACAGCGGCAACATCATTCTTGTTCTTAGCAGCCTGTTCGTCATACGCGTCCAGCTTAGCCTTCTCCTCCACTACCAGCTTGTCCAAACCAGCATCGTCGAATTCCTCGCTGATCGGCTTCAGCAGCGTCACAATTTCATGATGCTCCATTCCAGCAGCAACTTGCAATGGCTTGGCATCAGCATCCGACAATAGATTCGCAGCTTCCTTCACATCCTCTGAACAATACGTCAGAATCCCCTGAACCGCTGCAGAAAACACAGTTTGAGCAGCCACGTGAAGCACCGTGAGGCCATTGTCAACGACAGCGCTGCTCCGCCCTCCAGCAGCTCTTTCATCACGATGGGCTTGTTCATGAGACAAGACAGCATCAATGGCGTAACACCGCCAACGTTTGTCACATCCGCTTTGACGCAGCAGCTCAGCCATGGTCTTCTCACGTTGCGCCTTGTGCTCGACCAGTACCTTCACTGTTAAGATACTGCCATTGGCAGCTGCTTCGTGCAAGGTCGTCGTGCCATTCGTCATAGCCACATTCAGGTCGGCAAAGTAAGCCAGCAGCAACTTTACTGCCAAGAACTAGTTCTCCTTGACTGCATACAGCAGCGGGGTCGCTCCTTCTTCTTCCACAGCCTCGACACAGTCAGGGGCTCGTTCCAAGATGTAATTAATCACTTGACGACGCCCTTTCGCCGCGGCAAAATGCAGCGCCGTGCGTTTGTGCGCGCCCTTAAAGTCCACAAGCGCCTCTTTCACGTCCGTCACACCGATCACCTGCAGCGACTTGACCGTTTTCTCAAGCATCTCGAGGTCGCCAACTACCGCAAAAAAGTTGGGATCAGAATGTGAGGATTGGATCAGAAAAATGGCCACAAAATGGCCACAATTGCATTTCACACTTTTGGCAATTGAGAGCAGGCCGCCAACGATCTTCTTCTGCTGTTGGAACTCGAACGCGCCCTGTTTCTTTTCTTCTCGGAGCGTCTTCGTCGTATCGATGCCGCCGCCATTTTGATCCAATAACTCGATCCTGACGTTTGCTGCCAGCCAGTCATCGGGATGAACGAAGTGGACACATAACTGAGCGTTCTGATTTGCGGATATTGATGGCGGTAAGCAGCCTATCACCGCACGCGAACGGGCAACTTCAACTTTACCATGTATCGGACAAGGACCACGTCGCTCTAACGGTAGCATCAAGCATGTTTAAGGTATAGATTAGAGGCAGTTGTAGACTACAGCGCACTCGCTTTTCATAGCTGGTTACGCTGCGTCAGTTGTCGATTTGCAGCCTCGAGAGGACTTTTGTGTGGGACCATGTCGACAGTGGGAGGAGAACCACGAGCAGCGCTGATCCCGATCGTGCGCTTCAGTTGTTCGCTCATTATCGACGATGGTGGCTTGACATTGGGTTGCTTTTCTCTCCTCGTTTTAGGCTGACGGGACCGAGGAGATTGAGGCGATTGCAGTGGCAGACGTTCTGACGCGCGGAGGAATGAAGGTGACGCTGGCCAGTGTTGGTCGCAAGCTTCAGAACATTGTGACCATGTCACAGGGAACGAAAGTGCAGGGTGATATCGCCATTGAAGCTTGTAGCGACCTTAGCTTTGATCTCATCATGTGTCCTGGGGTGAGTGCGCTCATGTCGTTTGCATTTTTTTGTCGCGTTAGTGATGCTCGCGTAAGAGTGTGCCGGTTAACACAGTGTGGAAAACGATCCTTAGGGCCCTGGTGCACAACACCTTCATGATTCGGCTGAGCTGATCACGATGCTGCAGAAGCAAAAGCGGCAAGGCCGGTTCTATGGCGGCATTTGTGCAGCACCAGCTGTTGTGCTTCTTCCCCATGGACTACTTGATGCAGGTCCGGCTACAACGTATCCAAGCTACGAGTCCAAAATGACTGGGGTTGATTACCGCCCCAAGGAGCGTGTCGTAGTAAATGGCACATGCGTGACCAGCCAGGGCCCCGGTACTGCAATCGAGATGGGATTAAAGCTTGTGGAACTGCTGTGTAGCGAGGAAAAGGCAAAGAGCGTGGCTTCTGCCTTGATTGCGTGAATTAAATAGCCGGCATGAATGCCGTGCATTGCCCGATCGGGCTCCATGCACACTTAGCAGCTGTCCACGGTTGTACCACAAATAAAAAAAATCAAATCGTGATCACTATATGCCCCTCCTAGTAGCTCCGCGTCTTCAGCCACTCTTAAATGGGACTCAGCATTGTCCCCATAGGTCTCTAGACCTATTCGTCAAGTATTTGCGTGATATGACTTAATATTGTCAAACATTACATTTTCTGCTGCTTGAATACAGTAAGTAGTTGTGTGCATCATTCCTGCTAGAGCAGTTGCTGCTCCCGATGCAACTACTCGAGCAACGCTACCTGATTCTCCGATAAGTAGCTCTCTTGCTGACTTGTAAATCATCAGTCCGACACGACGCTACGATCTTTGCTCCAATGTCTGCGCAAGATCCGATATTCTGCCACCCCATCCATTTCATCTCGCTTAAATGTTGGTACTGATCCCAGTGGACACACTGCAGTTTAATACCAATCGGACAGAAAGAACGACACGTACTCGAATGTTTAGATGATGCTTCCTTTTGTCCTCATTATGTATGGGCCCTACGAAATGGAAAGATTTTTTCTTAGCCTAAAATCGATAATGCGCGCCAAGGTAAAGCAACATGTCATGGGCGCCCATGCCATCGTTGTCTAAATTTATACGAGCGTCAATTTGCCAAGTGATTAGCAAAGTTAAATAGGTGGTACCGATCTATTAATAAATACATACTGCGCCAGGTAATACTGCATACCACTGTTTTCCCAACGTTCAATCAAATTTTCCTGATTTTGTGAGTAGCATCTAGGCATGTGGTGCAACCTGTTGTCAAAGGCTTGTGTTGTGAGCTGCAAAATGCAAAGTGAAAATATCCAGGTCCTTAGTTCGCAATCTCTTTTACTACACGAAGCCTACCGGGAACTTTGACTAAACATTCCCAATCGCTAAATTGCGCATAACTAATCGTATTGTCGCACGATACTAATCGCCACATCACATAGTAATAATCGCCACGTTGCGCATTAAGAATCACCACCCAAAATGCGCATTAGTAATTGCCACGTCGCGCATTACAAATTGTCGCTTTGTTGTTGAGGCGCTTCTTCGATATCACCTGTAACGGGGCACCCTGAAGCTTGTACTGGTGACAGTACAAGCTACTTATTCTGATAACAGAATAAGGTGGTGCCTCGAAACTTCACGTACACTCGTACGTGCAGAGGAAGACGGTAAGAAGAAGCGAGTACTTGGTTAAAGTAAAAAGTAGAACTGTATTTATAGTAGTTAATGTCTGCAATAAATCACTATTTATCTTCATCTAACTACGTCTAAATACAAATGTGTAAATCAGTTATCTGCTCACCACTCATTGCGTGCGTCTGTCGTGGCGCGTCTTTGTTGGTTGATATAATGGCCTATATCAACCAATTAGGAACTACTTGTAAGTGCAACAGAATATTTGTCCTTATGACAATATTCTGAGAATATAACTCTTATAGTTATATTCTATTAGCAATTTCTTAAAAATTGTTATGCAACGATTCACCCCGTTACATCACCCCCCCCTAACCATCAGTCACTTTAGTGACTGATTGACTAAATGGATACTCGTCCCAAATCATTTGGGACAGGGTCTGCACTTGTTGGTCCGCGTCCACTTTCCAACATCTCATCGCATGGTTAACAAGCCCATGCGATGCGCGAGCAAGGCCGCCGAGAGCGCGTCTGCACGTCTCTGTGCGGACGCCGAAGCAGAAACTACAGCAACTGATGTCCCATCGGTTGCTGAAGAGACCCAGCCTGTGTCACCTGGTGATGCAGGCGCTGGTCATGAAGACACTCGTGTCTTCACAGAGTACGAGCTCGGTGTCTCGTACTCTCCTGATACGGATGACGGATCTATATCGACGGCGATCGAATCCAAGCCGCCTGCCAAGCGTGGCATGGACGATGCTTTGCGTCGCAGCATCTTTGGTTCATCTGATGAATCAGATGAACCATCGCCGAAGAGAAGGCGCTCGAGATCGCGAGACTCAAGCGCTAACAGTGGTGTCGGTTCTCCTACGGACACCACTTCACAGCGAGGTGCCAGTACTTCTGTCGGCACGTCGCAGGAAGAGCGGGACCGCAATGTGTTGCGTCTCGCTCCAGAAAAGAAGGCATGGATGCCTCCGAAATCCGTCATGGATCACTTGTCGGCGACGACGAGTAATCGTTATCGAACACGGTTGTTCGATTCGTCAAGGATACATCACCTTGACCCCAGCGCGAAAAACTATCGCGCTGAACATGAATTCTTCATCGATGCTTTCTTTAGACATCGATGGTACAGTGGGAATCACAAACGTGATGGTCCCTCACTACTTCAGGCGTGGAGCGCCTACATCCATAACCTCGAGGATGTAGGTCGTGACGCTTGGAACGACAAACTTATCAAAGCTCGTGATAAGTTTGAAAAGCGAACCCCGACAGGTGCACGCTACAAGCTGCATCGTCTGTCAAGGGAGAAAGGATTACCCTGCCTCTCTTGGGAAGACTCGTGCCCATGTTGTGTGAACAACTCTGCACGAGCACCTAAGGAGGCTTACCTCCTTACCAGCCCGTGGTGGCGCGTACGTGTCTCTACTGAGATGTACGAAGGGATTGACAACCTGAAATCCCTTTACGACCGTGCCGGGAAGACTTTCTCCGGCGGTCCTTCTGCGGCACCGGATGTGCCGCGTCGTACTTCTCAACCAGACCCATTACGTCAATCATCAGTTGGGAGCGGGGCTCTCAAGAATCCCAGGACGGGGGATAGCCGCGCCACCGGACGAGGTAACTCGTCCGACGTCCGTTCACATCTCGGTGGTTCAACAGCTGCTCAACTAGATAGCGCTGGCCACCGCGAGAGTCCTCTAATGGAGGTGGAGGAGGAGGAAAGACGCTCTCCACACGATCATGTGGATCGGTGTGTTCCCGAGAGCTTCTTTGATCGCGTAACGCAAGGGTTACGCGACGATCTCGAGCATGAGCGGAATAGGCGTCTCCAAATGGCGGACACTGCCTCGAAGCATCGAGCTGAGTTTGCCTTTGCTCAGCTCGAGAACGAGAGATCTCTGACATCTCTTCGTGACGAGCTAAGGGTAGCTCGTGGGATTGCTGATCGATCTCGGGATGAGATAGCTGCTCTTCAGACCCTTGTTGATGCCCACCATCGGGAGCACAAGGCTCTCTGCGAGATGCTTGAGCGCAAGGGCGTTCTTCATCGGAAGAAGCAGCGTACTGATGGTACGGCTTAAGCCGACCAACGTAAAACGTGGGATGCGTTCGCATCTTACGTGGTAACTCGATCGTGTATGCATTGCCTAGGCGGTACAATACACGAAATGGGCCAATGTACTTGGGTAGTAGTTTACTGCTACCCAAGTTAGTCACTACATGCTTTGGTAGATTAACCGTAGACAGTAGGACTAAGTCACCTTTACTAAATAAAAGAGTGTTTGCCCTTCCATTCTTGTCAGCGTTTTGCTTTTGCTTATCCACCGCTTCGGCGATGGAGTCTTGCACAAAACGGACTACCGTTTCACGAGCCAGTATGAACTCATCTGATGACTCGTTAGCTTCAGTGTGCTGTGAGCGCACTGCAGCAACAACAACTTTTTCTTCAGTGAGGGCTTCCGCACTCTCACTGGGATCATTGTCTTCAGTGAGGGCTTCCGCACTCTCACTGGGATCATTGTCTTCGATATCGATGTTATCGATATCGGCATCGAACGCAATGACTACTTCGTCAGAGCGTGATGAGCGTGAACCAAATCGGTTTTTGCTCGCGCGAGTCGCTCCCCCCCTTAAACCAGAGTTACACTCTAGTAAGGTGGGTACACGCGGATGGCGCAAGCCATTCACGTAAAACGGTGTATGTGTCGTGGACGCATGCACCGAGTTGTTGATGGCAAACTCTACCATTGGCAAAAACTCACTCCAACTCTTAAAGGAGTGTACGTATCCTCGAAGTATCTCTTCAAGGACACGATTGGCACGTTCCGTCTGACCATCTGACTCTGGATGATCAGATGTCGACATCTTCAAGCGCGTTCCGAGTGATTTGAACACGGAACGCCAGAAATCAGCAGTGAATCGTGGATCTCTGTCTGATACGAGTTCACGGGGCAACCCATGAAGTCGGAAGATGGTGTCAATAAAGACACAAGCACAGCCACTTGCCGTGATTGTCTCTGGTACAGCCACAAGGTGTACCATTTTGCTGAATCTGTCAACAAATACGAGAATACCCGTATTCCCGCGTGCGTCTTTGGGTAACCCGAAGACGAAATCCATTGAGATGGATTCCCAGCACTCAGCCGGAACCGGTAGAGGCTGTAAAGGTGCACGCAGTGAAGGACTTGACTTCACTCGTTGGCAGACTTCGCATGCGCGAACATACTTTCGCACAAACTGATACTGGCGGGGCCAGTAAAAGTCTCGACTTACCGTGAGATATGTTTTCTCTCGGCCACGATGTCCTCCTATAGGAGCATCGTGATACTCGAACATGATCCGCAAACGCAGATCAGTATCATCTGGAATGACAACACGTGGTGTGTCACCAGAAACGGCTGTATAATACAGTAAACCGTTACGAGCAGTGTATCGATCTGATGCAGATCGATACGCAGGCGACAATCGTTTCAACGATTCTCGGGATGGTTGGGAGAGATGTGACAACAACTTCACTATCTCACCATCTTGGGCGTATGCCCGCCTCACATCATCATACAACGTTGTAGATGGGACTGAGGACGTCATAACCGCAACAGTGACTGTCTCACTGTTGGGTTTCGCGACTGTTTCAAAGTCGGGACGACGTGAGAGTGCATCAGCGACGACAGTAAGTCGTCCTGGTTTGTACTCGACCGTAAAGTTGTATTCTGCAAAGAATGCCACCACCGCGCCATTCGTTGTGAAAGGTGCGGGCTGTTCACTGCCGTGCGTAATGACGCATGGTCAGTGTAAACAACGAAGGGTCTATCTCCTAATAGATAGACTCTGAACTTCGCGAGTGCATACTTCATGGCAAGGAGTTCCTTGTCATGCACTGGATAGTTCCGCTCAGCAGGTTGCAGCTGACGCGACTGATAGCAGACGACGCGTTCAACGCCTTCAAGATCGTACTGCATTAATGCACAGTCGATTGCGAAATCGCTGGCATCACAGACCACATGAAATGGCCTGTCCTGATCGGCTATTGCTAGGACTGGGGATTGTATCAAGCTCTGCTTGATACCCTCAAAGGAGCGTTGACATTCAGCGTTCCATAACCACCTCTCGTTCTTTTTCAACAAACGAGAGAGGTGCACAGTCATCTCGGCGTAATTGCGTGAATACTTATGCAAATACGCTGCTAGCCCAAGGAATTTTCGAAGACCTTTGACATCGACCGGCACAGGCCAGTCGGTGATCGCCTTGATCTTTTCGGGATCAGGACGTACACCGTTCTTACCAACGATGCACCCAAGAAGTGGTATTTCGCTTGCTGCAAATATACACTTCTTGAGGTTAGCATACAATTGATGCTTTCGCATGATTGTAAGAACTTGTCGGACGTGGTACCTGTGAACCTCAACGTCCGACTTTCCATCCATAGCTCGACTATGGATGAATACGTCATCGAAATAACTCGGCGCGAACTCTCGTACTGGTCTCAACAGATGTGATACACATCTGTTGAACGTGGCAGGGGCATTACTGAGCCCTTGTGGCATTACTAGCCATTCCCAGAGCATGCCGCTAGGCGTGCTAACTGCGGTATAGGGTATATCCCGTTCCCGCATTAGGATTTGATAGAAGCCATCCATCAAATCCATGGACGAAAAGATGGTACTCTTTGACATACCATCAATGATTACGTCCTTCCTCGGTATCGGCGTCTGAGCCGGTACCGTTGCAGCGTTCAATTTGTTAAACGCGTGCACTATCCGCCACCCTCCTGTTGCTTTTCGCACACAGAAGGTCGGAGAGCTATGTGGGGAAGTTGATTCCCTCACATGGCCCGCTGCTAAACGATCGGCAAAGAACTTGTCGACCGCAAGTACTTGTTCACGAGGCAGTGGCCACTGCTTCATGACACAGTACTTCGAGCCTGGTTTAAGCTCGACTTCGTGTCGAATACCTTTATCCTTCGGTAATTCGCACGGAACAGTTTCAGGGAATACATCCTTGAATTCAACCAAATCTTCATAGAGAGGATTTTTCTTGAGCGATTCCCACGATTGGGACTCATATCGCTCAATTCGTGTCTTTTCATCGAGGACACTCTCGTCCATAGATGAACTACTGAGAAATCTCTCGTTCTCAGTAAACACTGTTGCTGAACTTATGTCGGTTACACACTCGTCGTCAGCGACGAGTATGCAGATCTGCTTGACTTTGCCACTACGCAGATCACGCAAGAACCTTTTATGTTCGAGCGTAGGCAACTGAGTGATCTCCGAAGTTAACTTCGGAGGCGCAATCAGATTAAGTGTATAAGCGCCTACACTTGATCCGTTATTGACTATGACATTCAATGTCTCTGTCATTTCCTGGGGACTTATTCCCTCAGGCTTCGAAGGACTTATTCCTTCGTCTTCCCGGGGACTTATTCCCGCGGGTTTCGGGGAACTTATTTCCGCCGTATTTGTAATCTTGGGACTTCTTCCCTTTACTTCCTCTAGCTGGGGTTGCGCAACCACAGCGAGATCCTCTACGAAAGACTCTCCAGTCGATCTAGGATTATCGTTTCACTTAACCTGAGCGATCGATTGTTTCTCTTCTAGATGTTCCCCTCTAGGGATACATCTTTGTCCCAGTCCACCCGACTTATTCGAGTGGTGGACCTTTGGCGCAGCCTGTGTTTCCTCACAGCCGCCGGAACTTTGCTCCGAAGTGTAACCGTTTGGTACACTAAGGTTTTGTGCAGTCGTACTAACGACCGTACCACAAGTGAGGCCATCGCACTCACTCGTAGTACATCCACACGCTTGTGGACGCTCCAAAACGTTCATCAGATGGCCATCTGATGAACAAGCGGCAGGCATCGTTACTGTCCGATGTTGCCAGTTTACCCGTGGTTCGTACCTTCTGAGCCACGGTATTCCAAGGATGACATCAAATTTGTCATCCAAATCCAATACGATAAAGTCATCGTCATATTGGGTATCTTCTAGCGTATAGTGAATCTTCACTATACGCTTCATGACGGTTACGTATGCGCCTGTCGCAAGACGTACCGTCATCCTCGTAGGAGGTGTGTCACATTCACTGAATTTAAAGTGACCATCTTCTAGCGATTGGCGTCGCACAAAATTGTTGGACGCCCCACAATCGACTAGAGCTCGAAGGGACAACTCATTTGTCACTTCGAGTTTCAAGGTAATGAGTGAGATCTCATTACCTAGAGCAGCAACGCACAACGTTTGTGTGTTGGGAGCAACCTTCGTCAAGAGGCCTGCAAATTCTCTTGACGTTGCTGGATCATTAGGGTGCTCCGCACCTACTGATCCTGTCCGTTTTTTGACGGTCCATCCCGTTGTTGCGTCTTTGCACCAACTGCGGACCCTCGTCCCTGCCCCTTTCTCATGGGTGGACGGTCACTACGCCCAGTGTCGCGAGACACTGGACGAGGGGCACTACACTCGTAAGCGTAGTGTCCTGTCTTTTGACATCTGTTGCATCTCTGCAACTTCTTGTAGCCTGTAGAGCGAACCTTCTCGCTCTCTACATAACAGAGTTCCATCGGCTCTGGACCTCCGTTGTCATATCGTCTCGGTTGACGATATGATGTCGAGCTGGCGCGAGCCTGTCTCAGACTGAAGTCTTCCTGCTCCGCAATGGAAATGGATTGTTCTAGTGAATCTAGTTCAAGCCGGAACAGGTGAGTCTTGACGGGACCATCCGCAAGACCCTGCATGAACACCGAAACCAACGTGTGTTCATCCACTGGATTGGAACTTATACAACTCGTAAGATGTCGTATATGTTGAGCGTAAGCGTGCACATCACGCTTACCCTGCTTGAGCTTCAAGAGTTCGGTTCGAGCCCTGAACTCAGCTCTAGGCGGTTCAAACGTTTGTCTGAGCCGCGACTTGAAGACTTCCAACGACCCAAACGCATATGGGTCGTGCAGCTTGAGCCCCAGTGCCCAAGTCTTGGCACGTCCTGCCAGATTTGACTGGGCAAATGCAACTTGCATATCCCCGTCGTCGATGCGACGCGCCCTTATGGCGTCATCCAATTCGACGAACCATCTCAAGAGGGAGTCTTCTTCGACCCCCTATACTTTGAGATGTCAATCTTCAAAGTCTCGGGTCGACGCGAGTGCATCGACCCGCCAGCAGCAGCCTGCTGCTGTCTCAACAGTTCAAACTGTTGAGCACCTTGTTCTATCAACAACTCTGCTTGTTGAGAACCTTGTTGGTGAAGCAAGGCTACTTTCTCGCGTTCAGCGTCAAGTTCATTTTGAATGAACTTGGCGATAGTAGCATGTTGGGCATCTCTATTGAGAGCCTCTAGCATGACGCTAACAGCATGGATGCCCATGGTCGAACCCATTCGTTCGACCGCATCCCATTCGACATCGCTCAAATGGGAGTAGCCGTCACGCGTAGCGTGAAAGCTTTGGTCATCTTCATCATCGAACATATTCATGTTGGATGTGAACGCGGTCCTTGGACGGACTACGAAGTGCTACCAGGTGTAACGGGGTACCCTGAAGCTTGTACTGGTGACAGTACAAGCTACTTATTCTGATGACAGAATAAGGCGGTGCCTCGTAACTTCACGTACACTGTTACGTGCAGAGAAAGACGGTAAGAAGAAGCGAGTACTTGGTTAAAGTAAAAAGTAGAACTGTGTTTATAATAGTTAATGTCTGCAATAAATCACTATTTATCTTCATCTAACTATGTCTAAATACAAATGTGTAAATCAGTTATCTGCTCACCACTCATTGCGTGCGTCTGTCGTGGCGCGTCTTCGTTGGTTGATATAATGGCCTATATCAACCAATTAGGAACTACTTGTAAGCGCTACAGAATATTTGTCCTTATGACAATATTCTGAGAATATAACTCTTATAGTTATATTCTATTAACAATTTCTTAAAAATTGTTATGTAACGATTCACCCCGTTACATCACCCGCACTCGACTCGGCAGCAACAGCGACAGTTATGCCAAGTTTGTTCCGTGATAAACTGCAGCGTTGCGTTTGCATATGTCATGATATGTGCGAGTATGTCTTGCGTCGAGCGATAATGTATCACGACGTAAATTTCTCAGTCTTTTTACGTACGAAGTGGTCGTGGATGTCGATGTGCTAGATGCGCTTATAAAATTCCGGGTTTTGACCAGCGCAGTAGCATCTTTATTGTCGTCAAAATAGTCAGCGCGTCGTTGTATACTTTTTGCCGAGCTCAAATATGAACGCCTTGAGCCACACTGCCTCTTAAGGCTTTTCTATGAGCGCCATGCACTCCGATTCAGTCGACAAAATTTTGCCTCTGCGCTGATTCTTGCTGCAACAGTTGATGCAGCCGCTGTTAGGCACAAACAAGTACCCGCTGGTATTACGTGCCTTCAGATGTCCCAGCCCTGTCTGCGTCAGAATAGCCAACCAAATTGCCATCGCCAGCGCAGAGGTAAAAGAATATTGAGTGTCGGAGTCGCTTGTAGGTACTTTAGCACGCGCTTAAGTGCTTGCCAGTGTGTTGGACACGGGTCAGCAGAAAACTTGCTGAGCAATTCCACTTTAGCTGCTAGGTCCGGACGCGTGCTGGCCATACGGTACATCACGGGTCCGACAACACTTCGGTACAGCACACCTTTCATGTAGTCTTCACGCTTGCACATTTCTTTGCACACATTTTTTTTCAACTGGAGTCCGGGCTCTTGCGGTGTCTTAACGTGTCTAGAGTCTTGCATGACAAACTTGGTCAGGATTGAGCGCTGAAACTTGGTTTGCTTCATCGACAAATCGTCTGACTTTTCATCGCGCTCAACTTTCATGTTGAGGCTGTACTTGAGCTCACCAAGATCGGACATCTCAATGCGCTCGCTCAATGCACGCTTGGTAGCTGCAAAAAAACTCATGTCGTTGTGAGCACGGATAAGATCCTTTACATAGAAAACTACAAGCATCACGACCTGTTTGTCACGCTCAACTAGACGCAGTGGTCCATCTTGCACTCGGTAATGCCTCCTTTGTGAATAAAATCATCAGGGGTTGATTTCACATGCGTGGCGGCTGCTTGATTCCGTACAAATCATACTTTAAGTTGCAAAGGATCTGAGAATATTTTTAATGAACGAAAACAAGCAAAGGTTCTGAGAACATTTTAAATGAACGAATCAAACGGGCTGCCATATGTAGATCTCTTCTTCAATCAGATCACTGGGAACTGCCGTTTCGATATCCATCTGGTGCCGCACGAGGTTGTGCTGCGAGGCGATGCTTGTAATGATCTATATTGACACGAACTTGGCCACCGGAGCGAACGTCTCCTCAAAGTACACACCATAAGTTTGTTAAAAGAATTCAGCCACAAGGCAATCCTTGTGCCGTTCAAAAAAATCGTCAACAGTTAACTTATTCTCTAATACACACTTGCTGCTGATCGCCTTGCAACCAATTGTAGATGGCGCAAGTCCCCATGTTTTGCTTTTTAACTATTGTAACACTAAAATGCACGCTTCTCGCCGCTTGCTTACGTCTTCGGATTCTATCTCCGATGCAAATGTCATTGGAACTTCTCTCACTGAATCAACAACGTGACCACCGTCTTCTTCTCTGCATTGATTGATGCAAGTGGCGCCGACACGTCTTTGAGTGATAAACTGTTGCCCTGTACTGACGTTGTGTTTGCTTGACTTGTAATTCCCACGCGAGCATAGCGATTTTCCACTGGTGGTTTTGACAAGCTTTCCACTGAGTTCTCCCGTAGATGGCTCTTGTACCTCGGTGGTTAACAAAATTCTGCTGCTGCAAATACATTGCAGCGGTCGACCTGCACAATGCTTTTGCTGCCATTTTGGCCGCTTTTGCATCGAAACCGGCTCGGGCGCTTGCTCGTCCGTATTTTCACTGAAAGTTTCGTTACTTGAACGCTGTAGTCTTCATCTCGGTTTGCTTCATCAGCGGAACTATACTCTGAACTGTTTCTGTCGATCTTCTTTGCGTACTTTCCGATGTCAAAGTAGTCTATAATGAACTGAGCGCCGTGACTAAATAGGATGCGACTGCATAATAGCTATTTGTACCGATACGCTTTTTTGTGATCTGAGTAGTCCAAAAAGTGACACTATGTAGATTGCGCATCGATCTTTTATCTCTCATCTTTCGGCACATTCACATACGTATGGCACTTCAGTACCTCTAGATTCTTTAGCAGAGCTTTTTTCTGTGTTTACAACTCAAGAGGAAGCTGTACTTGACCAGTCGCTCGCGTCGGGCATCGGATGCGTAGGAATGCTGACGTCGTTACTGCCTCACCTCAGTAGCGTTTAAATAAACACCGCGAACTCGATCATGCATCGAGCACTCTAGACCAGAATGCGGTTTATCTGCTAGGCCACTCCGTTCAGTTGAGGCGTGTAAGGCGGCGTGAACCGCTCTACGATGCCGTAATTATGACAGAACGCTGTGAGCATATTATACGCGTACTTATCACCGTTGTCGCTGCGAAGTTCTTTGATGGAACGACCGGTCTGGTTCTCAGCAAACTTGCTGAGCTGCATGAACTTGTCGAGCACTTCTGATTTTCTTTAGAACAGTACACCGCACAATACCGTGACTTGTCGTCGACGAACGTCATGAAATAGCGTTTTCCGGATAATGTTGCAGTCTGAATTAGTCCGCAAACATCGGAGTGCACGACGTTAAGCAGGTTTTAAGTTGTCTGGCTTGCAGTTGTCGATAAATTTACTCGGACCCTTTTCCCGAAAGCACGTCCATTTCAAATCTTTCACTTGCTTTTTGAAGCAATGTATATGCCGATTACTAGATTCTGCTTTAAGATTGTGCTGAGTTCATCATTGCCAATGTGGCTCAGACGTAGGTGCCAAGGGTACGGCCTGCTCATTTGTGGATCCTTGGATTCACTTGCAACGCACGCACTCTACACTTGCGCGTGTGGCATGCATAGATTAAAGAATTCTTTGCCAGCACGCTCGCCGGTCTTCCACTTCTTGTTCTTTAAATCCGCATATCAAGTGCTCGTGTAAAACGTCACTGTCGTGGAATCCTTGGTGAATCCGACACCCGAGAACAGATTACGTGATAGATCCGGAATGTGGCACACACTCATAAGCACAACTTTCTGGGAATCAGTCGGGTCTGCGTCATCATGACCATGTTGCCGCTCTCATCACCTGCACAGGTTTTGTTGTCTGCAAGATGAACGATAACCATATCGATGGTTTTGTAATTTGTCATGAACCACTTCGAAAACGACATGTGCTGCGTCGCACCAGAGTCAATGATCCAAGCTAGATTCTTGTTGCTGTTGTTCATCTCCTTTCTAACGGCAAAGAGGATATCATTCCATCGTTTTTGTGTGCCTCATTTGCACGCTTCGGAAGCTGTCAGTCCTCATTGTCTTATATCCGCGAGGATCATTCCGCGATCCAATGGCCCTTCTAACCGCAGTAGTTGCACGCGCCGTTCGTCGTAAAGGGCCGCCCACTGCGCTTCTTATCGCTTGTAAAGAACTTTTGACCTGAAACAGTTCTTTTGCTGCCCAGCTCCTAGCGCTTTATTTCTTCATGTAGAAGCCGGGCCGTCACGAGTTCCCAAGACAGCGAGTCGACACGTGACTCCAACGCCATGATCAGTAACTGGTGCGACTCGCTTAGGCTACCAAAAAGCGTGATCACCAAGTCTTCCTTGCTGACCGGAGCGCCGACGGCATCGAGATGCTCCGCCAGAGTCTTGAGATTTTGGATTTGTCCTAACACATCATCACCTCCACCATCTTCCAGAAAAAGCGTCGACAAACAAAAAGAGATTTTTCACACTACTCCTTTTCTCGTAGTGCCCTTTTATTTATCTGACCATGCATCGTGCGCAACAATCGTCGAACGGACCATCGACTGCTGCGAATTTTTCAAAGCGAGACAGATGATCGCCATTTACTTGTGTGATTTGCGGATGAGCTTTGACTGGTCCAGAGCAGTGTTCAGATGTTCCATGTTAATCTCTCCGTTTATAAATTATAGAGGTCCTGCTTCCGTAGCACCATCTACGATTGAACCTCCAGGTGTGGTAGTTTGTCCCTTAAACTTGTCAATGCGGAGAGATGGTGGAGGAGGCGAGCGTCCATGTTGCAGTCAAAGTCAGCATTGAGGGCAGAGTCAGTGGAGCTTAAGCTCATCATCTGTTGTTACTGGCTTGCGTTGTGAGACGCAAAATGCAAAGTGAAAATATGTGGGTCCCTAGTTCGCAATCTCTTTTGCTACTCTAAGCCTACTAGATTTTTGACATTAAATTCTTGATTGCTAAATCACGCATCACTGATCCCCACGTCGCGCATTAACAATCGTCGCTTAGTTTCCGAATTTCGATGATACGTACAGCTTATTTAAGTACCCTATTATGTGTGTTAACAATTGCGATTTTGCAAAGGGGCATCTTAAGACGAGTGCTCGCCTATAGAAGGAGTGGATTGACGCATAAAAATGTTGAAGGATACGGTGCAAGAAGTATCACTAAGGACTCCAGTTCTTAGCAAATTGCTTTGTCTAAATAGACCAATATTATCGGATCTCTTGCTGTTGACTATCTATTAGGCTTGATTATCGTAAAATTACTCTATGTACACCGTCTTAAAAATATCCCTTGGATTGCTGAACTCACTTACACGCCGATCGGGATATCTGTCTATCAAAAATTTATGCCTATGCTAACAGATGCTTAGAAAACATTATATCAAACAAGAGAATGTCAACTACTTAGCCTTAGTCGGACCGCCCATTCTGCCATTCAAATTTTATCGCCTAAGTGATGATGAGCCATAAAACCTTTAATTATGGTCGTACTGCTTACGATGTTAGTCCTTCTGTTGGACACTGCCAGTAGCGCATTTGTGCACACAAAATGATTCCATGACTGATAATGTAACTCTTCACTACTTTGCTTCATCAAACTTTTTTGCAGAGCCTCTTCCATTCAGGCCATTCGGAAATCAAAAGGAAGCTGTACGGACGTCACGCAGTACTCCGTGCTAAGAGTATGCCCTCAACATTATACCTACAAAAACGCGCGACTTCAAGCGCGTTTTCCTCCAATCACCGCAAGGGACGCCATAAAAAATTCCACACAACGATGATGCCCTTACATAGCTTAAACGGGTGGTTGTTCGTATATATCACGATCACCTTTACAAACATTGTGCCACAAGCTAGAGCTTGTTCGACTATCTGCATGAACAATTTTTAACTGGCCAACTCCTATGTATAAACAATGTAATGATGCTGGCAATAATGGCTGTGCTGCGTATCTTATGAGAAGGAGGCAATGTGGAGGCAACAGTTTAAATGATGCATCAATCACAAGATACTTTATCGGCATGCACGCATATGTGAAAATGTACAATTGCAATTTTGATTGTGTTAGAAACATCCTATTGCGTACCAGATACATTGCATCACTTGATGGAGACAACTATCATTGCGTAAGCAAGTGATTCCACAACATACGTCCATAAAGCGAATGACAAGGATCCGTGCAGTAATCGTATATAAAGTCCGCATGCAAACTCACATTGTTTGCAACTCCATCCGTTACGTTGCGGAATCTATATTCATGTTATTTGCTTGCCTTTGCGCTGTCACTGATGGACAATGATATTCTAATGCTGAAAATTGAAGCACAAGGAAGATTCAGCCATTAATAGTCCTTTTTTATTATGAAAAAAACAAACGGCAGGTTCAACATGGTGGAAGTTCTCTTGGTTAATAAAGGATAATCGCTTAGCCTTCTGTGATATAGCTTATGTAAGATTAATGAATAGTCTAAGAGGCAGGTAGGTGTCTTTTGTAGTACTCTGGGTGAATGTTAAGTAACCCGGCGTATTTGACCATGCGTTTTGGCGATTTTAGGGATGCGTAAACTATAGCCGTGGTTTAGCATCCGTATGGCGCGTGTCGCTCCTTCTTGTAGAATTTACGTCATTATAGTAAAGGCACTCTGGGTTGAGGTTGAGTGACATTTATACATACATTGATTCTGTTTTTGTGATGGACTCCACTTGAATGCGGATCGCCAGCAAAAATTACGATTTACTAGCTTCTTCGCACTCACTACTGCGGCTAATGATGCAATTGACCACTGAGATTTAACCATGCGTCTTCACCTTGCTCTTCTTCTGCACTCTGCCTGGTTGTTTGCGGTCCTACATGTTAACGTAATCTTTCCTTAGCGATCGACTTTGATGATAGTAAGGGTTCTGTTCCAGATCCAAAACTCGAAACCAGCAACAATGAAGAGAGGACTTCTGCCGATATTAGCGAGGGGGATAAGAAACGGAATTCGGCGGATTTGCTTTGAGTGCGCAAATTGTCAGGGAGAGGTGTGAAGCCTCAGGAGGAAAGTGTTTTTTTTGGAAATGGTAGAGCGGAGCTACCCTACCTGCTTAGTCAGAGGAAGACTTCTAGAGTCGTAGAGTCTCTTTGTATATCAAACAAAGCGGGTTTTAACTTAAAGGGTCTCAAATTTTTTGCAGACTTGATGAGACATAACTCCAAGTGTATGTACAAGCTCTTTAGCTTCGAGCCCTGGTTCAGGGGGCTACGACTCCATGAAATCACGTAGCGCTATTGCCAAATAGTTCTCACCCTTAACTCAGGCACTTAGCTCTTACGACCGGAGACGTCATGGAAAGATTCGTGTCGGAAACTGATCAAAAGGGAAAGTGAATGTACTTACTGATCTAGAGCGATACTAAACCTTACTTACGTCTTTAACCTCAACAAAATGCTACCTAATCAAATAGGCCTCATCGTAGTTCTTCTAGTGTACCACGCCAGAAAGATGTCGCCTCTATGGAGACACCATCACGATAGATACTCTCTAAATATCTCCGATGATAGATGGCATTATCGCTTAGCGTATGTGACACAAACGTACACCTCACAAGTGACCCTGATCTTTTTCTGTGTATACCGCACCATTGTACCTGGTATTCACAACCATTTGTGCAACACTTATACAAGGCGCTTGATAAAGGGACGCGGGAACGTCTTATCAAACACAAACATTAAATGTAGAGCTACAAGAAGCTAGCTCTAAAGGACAGGTCAGGGGCGAATATTGTAACGGGGTGAATCGTTGCATAACAATTTTTAAGAAATTGCTAATAGAATATAACTATAAGAGTTATATTCTCAGAATATTGTCATAAGGACAAATATTCTGTTGCACTTACGAGTAGTTCCTAATTGGTTGATATAGGCCATTATATCAACCAACGAAGACGCGCCACGACAGACGCACGCAATGAGTGGTGAACAGATAATTGATTTACACATTTGTATTTAGACGTAGTTAGATGAAGATAAATAGTGATTTATTGCAGACATTAACTATTATAAACACAGTTCTACTTTTTACTTTAACCAAGTACTCGCTTCTTCTTACCGTCTTTCTCTGCACGTAACAGTGTACGTGAAGTTACGAGGCACCGCCTTATTCTGTCATCAGAATAAGTAGCTTGTACTGTCACCAGTACAAGCTTCAGGGTACCCCGTTACACCTGGTAGCACTTCGTAGTCCGTCCAAGGACCGCGTTCACATCCAACATGAATATGTTGGATGATGAAGATGACCAAAGCTTTCACGCTACGCGTGACGGCTACTCCCATTTGAGCGATGTCGAATGGGATGCGGTCGAACGAATGGGTTCGACCATGGGCATCCATGCTGTTAGCGTCATGCTAGAGGCTCTCAATAGAGATGCCCAACATGCTACTATCGCCAAGTTCATTCAAAATGAACTTGACGCTGAACGCGAGAAAGTAGCCTTGCTTCACCAACAAGGTTCTCAACAAGCAGAGTTGTTGAGAGAACAGGGTGCTCAACAGTTTGAACTGTTGAGACAGCAGCAGGCTGCTGCTGGCGGGTCGATGCACTCGCGTCGACCCGAGACTTTGAAGATTGACATCTCCAAGTATAGGGGGGTCGAAGAAGACTCCCTCTTGAGATGGTTCGTCGAATTGGATGACGCCATAAGGGCGCGTCGCATCGACGACGGGGATATGCAAGTTGCATTTGCCCAGTCAAATCTGGCAGGACGTGCCAAGACTTGGGCACTGGGGCTCAAGCTGCACGACCCATATGCGTTTGGGTCGTTGGAAGTCTTCAAGTCGCGGCTCAGACAAACGTTTGAACCGCCTAGAGCTGAGTTCAGGGCTCGAAAAGAACTCTTGAAGCTCAAACAGGGTAGGCGTGATGTACACGCTTACGCTCAACATATACGACATCTTACGAGTTGTTCAAGTTCCAATCCGGTGGATGAATACACGTTGGTTTCGGTGTTCATGCAGGGTCTTGCGGATGGTCCCGTCAAGACTCACCTGTTCCGGCTTGAACTAGATTCACTAGAACAAGCCATTTCCATTGCGGAGCAGGAAGACTTCAGTCTGAGACAGGCTCGCGCCAGCTCGACATCATATCGTCAACCGAGACGATATGACAACGGAGGTCCAGAGCCGATGGAACTCTGTTATGTAGAGAGCGAGAAGGTTCGCTCTACAGGCTACAAGAAGTTGCAGAGATGCAACAGATGTCAAAAGACAGGACACTACGCTTACGAGTGTAGTGCCCCTCGTCCAGTGTCTCGCGACACTGGGCGTAGTGACCGTCCACCCATGAGAAAGGGGCAGGGACGAGGGTCCGCAGTTGGTGCAAAGACGCAACAACGGGATGGACCGTCAAAAAACGGACAGGATCAGTAGGTGCGGAGCACCCTACTGGTCTAGCAACGTCAATAGAATTTGTAGGCCTCTTGATGAAGGTTGCTCCCAACGCTCAAACGTTGTGCGTTTCTGCTCTAGGTAATGAGATCTCACTCATTACCTAGAAACTCGAAGTGACGAATAAGTTGTCCCTTCGAGCTCTAGTCGATTGTGGGGCGTCCAACAATTTTGTGCGACGCCAATCGCTAGAAGGTGGTCACTTTAAGTTCAGTTAATGTGACACACCTCCTACGAGGATGACGGTACTTCTTGCGACAGGCGCATCCGTAACCGTCATGAAGCGTATAGTGAAGATCCACTATACGCTAGAAGATACCCAATATGACGATGACTTTATCGTATTGGATTTGGATAACAAATTTGATGTTATCCTTGGAATACCGTGGATCAGAAGGTACGAACCACGGGTAAACTGGCAACACCGGACAGTAACGATGCCTGCCGCTTGTTCATCAGATGGCCATCTGATGAACGTTTTGGAGCGTCCACAAGCGTGTGGATGTACTACGAGTGAGTGCGATGGCCTCACTTGTGGTACGGTCGTTAGTACGACTGCACAAAACCTTAGTGTACCAAACGGTTACACTTCGGAGCAAAGTTCCGGCGGCTGTGAGGAAACACAGGCTGCTCCGAAGGTCCACCACTCGAATGAGTCGGGTGGACTGGGACAAAGATGTATCCCTAGAGGGGAACATCTAGAAGAGAAACAATCGATCGCTCAGGTTAAGCGAAACGATAATCCTAGATCGACTGGAGAGTCTTTCGTAGAGGATCTCGCTGTGGTTGCGCAACCCCAGCTAGAGGAAGTAAAGGGAAGAAGTCCCAAGATTACAAATACGGCGGAAATAAGTTCCCCGAAACCCGCGGGAATAAGTCCCCGGGAAGACGAAGGAATAAGTCCTTCGAAGCCTGAGGGAATAAGTCCCCAGGAAATGACAGAGACATTGAATGTCATAGTCAATAACGGATCAAGTGTAGGCGCTTATACACTTGATCTGATTGCGCCTCCGAAGTTGACTTCGGAGATCACTCAGTTGCCAACGCTCGAACATAAAAGGTTCTTGCGTGATCTGCGTAGTGGCAAAGTCAAGCAGATCTGCATACTCGTCGCTGACGACGAGTGTGTAACCGACATAAGTTCAGCAACAGTGTTTACTGAGAACGAGAGAGTTCTCAGTAGTTCATCTATGGACGAGAGTGTCCTAGATGAAAAGACACGAATTGAGCGAAATGACTCCCAATCATGGGAATCGCTCAAGAAAAATCCTCTCTATGAAGATTTGGTTGAATTCAAGGATGCAGTCCCTGAAACTGTTCCGTGCGAATTACCGAAGGATAAATGTACTCGACACGAGGTCGAGCTTAAACCAGGCTCGAAGTACTGTGTCATGAAGCAGTGGCCACTGCCTCGTGAACAAGTACTTGCGGTCGACAAGTTCTTTGCCGATCGTTTAGCTGCGGACCGTGTGAGGGAATCAACTTCCCCACATAGCTCTCCGACCTTCTGTGTGCGAAAAGCAACAGGAGGGTGGCGGACAGTGTATGCATTTAACCAGTTGAACGCTGCAACGGTACCGGCTCAGACGCCGATACCGAGGAAGGACGTATCATTGATGGTATGTCAAAGAGTACCATCTTTTCGTCCATGGATTTGATGGATGGCTTCTATCAAATACTTATGCGGGAACGGGATATACCCTATATCGCAGTTAGCACGCCTAGCGGCATGCTCTGGGAATGGCTAGTAATGCCACAAGGGCTCAGTAATGCCCCTGCCACGTTCAACAGATGTGTATCACATCTGTTGAGACCAGTACGAGAGTTCGCGCCGAGTTATTTCGATGACGTATTCATCCATAGTCGAGCTATGGATGGAAAGTCGGACGTTGAGGTTCACAGGTACCACGTCCGACAAGTTCTTACAATCATGCGAAAGCATCAATTGTATGCTAACCTCAAGAAGTGTATATTTGCAGCAAGCGAAATACCACTTCTTGGGTGCATCGTTGGTAAGAACGGTGTACGTCCTGATCCCGAAAAGATCAAGGCGATCACCGACTGGCCTGTGCCGGTCGATGTCAAAGGTCTTCGAAAATTCCTTGGGCTAGCAGCGTATTTGCATAAGTATTCACGCAATTACGCCGAGATGACTGTGCACCTCTCTCGTTGGTTGAAAAAGAACGAGAGGTGGTTATGGAACGCTGAATGTCAACGCTCCTTTGAGGGTATCAAGCAGAGCTTGATACAATCCCCAGTCCTAGCAATAGCCGATCAGGACAGGCCATTTCATGTGGTCTGTGATGCCAGCGATTTCGCAATCGACTGTGCATTAATGCAGTACGATCTTGAAGGCGTTGAACGCGTCGTCTGCTATCAGTCGCGTCAGCTGCAACCTGCTGAGCGGAACTATCCAGTGCATGACAAGGAACTCCTTGCCATGAAGTATGCACTCGCGAAGTTCAGAGTCTATCTATTAGGAGATAGACCCTTCGTTGTTTACACTGACCATGCGTCATTACGCACGGCAGTGAACAGCCCGCACCTTTCACAACGAATGGCGCGGTGGTGGCATTCTTTGCAGAATACAACTTTACGGTCGAGTACAAACCAGGACGACTTACTGTCGTCGCTGATGCACTCTCACGTCGTCCCGACCTTGAAACAGTCGCGAAACCCAACAGTGAGACAGTCACTGTTGCGGTTATGACGTCCTCAGTCCCATCTACAACGTTGTATGATGATGTGAGGCGGGCATACGCCCAAGATGGTGAGATATATATGTGAAGTTGTTGACACATCTCTCCCAACCATCTCGAGAATCGTTGAAACGATTGTCGTCTGCGTATCGATCTGCATCAGATCGATACACTGCTCGTAACGGTTTACTGTATTATACAGCCGTTTCTGGTGACACACCACGTGTTGTCATTCCAGATGATACTGATCTGCGTTTGCGGATCATGTTCGGGTATCACGATGCTCCTATAGGAGGACATCGTGGCCGAGAGAAAACATATCTCACGGTAAGTCGAGACTTTTACTGGCCCCGACAGTATCAGTTTGTGCGAAAGTATGTTCGCGCATGCGAAGTCTGCCAACGAGTGAAGTCAAGTCCTTCACTGCGTGCACCTTTACAGCCTCTACCGGTTCCGGCTGAGTGCTGGGAATCCATCTCAATGGATTTCGTCTTCGGGTTACCCAAAGACGCACGCGGGAATACGGGTATTCTCGTATTTGTTGACAGATTCAGCAAAATGGTATACCTTGTGGCTGTACCAGAGACAATCACGGCAAGTGGCTGTGCTTGTGTCTTTATTGACACCATCTTCCGACTTCATGGGTTGCCCCGTGAACTCGTATCAGACAGTGATCCACGATTCACTGCTGATTTCTGGCGTTCCGTGTTCAAATCACTCGGAACGCGCTTGAAGATGTCGACATCTGATCATCCAGAGTCAGATGGTCAGACGGAATGTGCCAATCGTGTCCTTGAAGAGATACTTCGAGGATACGTACACTCCTTTAAGAGTTGGAGTGAGTTTTTGCCAATGGTAGAGTTTGCCATCAACAACTCGGTGCATGCGTCCACGACACATACACCGTTTTACGTGAATGGCTTGCGCCATCCGCGTGTACCCACATTACTAGAGTGTAACTCTGGTTTAAGGGGGGGAGGGACTCGCGCGAGCAAAAACCGATTTGGTTCACGCTCATCACGCTCTGACGAAGAGGTCATTGCGTTTGATGCCGATATCGATAACATCGATATCGAAGAAGATGATGCCAGTGAGAGTGCGGAAGCCCTCACTGAAGACAATGATCCCAGTGAGAGTGCGGAAGCCCTCACTGAAGACAATGATCCCAGTGAGAGTGCGGAAGCCCTCACTGAAGAAAAAGTTGTTGTTGCTGCAGTGCGCTCACAGCACACTGAAGCTAACGAGTCATCAGATGAGTTCATACTGGCTCGTGAAACAGTAGTCCGTTTTGTGCAAGACTCCATCGCCGAAGCGGTGGATAAGCAAAAGCAAAACGCTGACAAGAATGGAAGGGCAAACACTCTTTTATTTAGTAAAGGTGACTTAGTCCTACTGTCTACGGTTAATCTACCAAAGCATGTAGTGACTAACTTGGGTAGCAGTAAACTACTACCCAAGTACATTGGGCCCATTTCGTGTATTGTACCGCCTAGGCAATGCATACACGATCGAGTTACCACGTAAGATGCGAACGCATCCCACGTTTTACGTTGGTCGGCTTAAGCCGTACCATCAGTACGCTGCTTCTTCCGATGAAGAACGCCCTTGCGCTCAAGCATCTCGCAGAGAGCCTTGTGCTCCCGATGGTGGGCATCAACAAGGGTCTGAAGAGCAGCTATCTCATCCCGAGATCGATCAGCAATCCCACGAGCTACCCTTAGCTCGTCACGAAGAGATGTCAGAGATCTCTCGTTCTCGAGCTGAGCAAAGGCAAACTCAGCTCGATGCTTCGAGGCAGTGTCCGCCATTTGGAGACGCCTATTCCGCTCATGCTCGAGATCGTCGCGTAACCCTTGCGTTACGCGATCAAAGAAGCTCTCGGGAACACACCGATCCACATGATCGTGTGGAGAGCGTCTTTCCTCCTCCTCCACCTCCATTAGAGGACTCTCGCGGTGGCCAGCGCTATCTAGTTGAGCAGCTGTTGAACCACCGAGATGTGTACGGACGTCGGACGAGTTATCTCGTCCGGTGGCGCGGCTACCCCCGTCCTGGAATACTTGAGAGCCCCGCTCCCAACTGATGATTGACGTAATGGGTCTGGTTGAGCAGTACGACGCGGCACATCCGGTGCCGCAGAAGGACCGCCGGAGAAAGTCTTCCCGGCACGGTCGTAAAGAGATTTCAGGTTGTCAATCCCTTCGTACATCTCAGTAGAGACACGTACGCGCCACCACGGGCTGGTAAGGAGGTAAGCCTCCTTAGGTGCTCGTGCAGAGTTGTTCACACAACATGGGCACGGGTCTCCCCAAGAGAGGCAGGGTAATCCTTTCTCCCTTGACAGACGATGCAGCTTGTAGCGTGCACCTGTCGGGGTTTGCTTTTCAAACTTATCACGAGCTTTGATAAGTTTGTCGTTCCAAGCGTCACGACCTACATCCTCGAGGTTATGGATGTAGGCGTTCCACGCCTGAAGTAGTGAGGGACCATCACGTTTGTGATTCCCACTGTACCATCGATGTCTAAAGAAAGCATCGATGAAGAATTCATGTTCAGCGCGATAGTTTTTCGCGCTGGGGTCAAGGTGATGGATCCTTGACGAATCGAACAACCGTGTTCGATAACGATTACTCGTCGTCGCCGACAAGTGATCCATGACGGATTTCGGAGGCATCCATGCCTTCTTTTCTGGAGCGAGACGCAACACATTGCGGTCCCGCTCTTCCTGCGACGTGCCGACAGAAGTACTGGCACCTCGCTGTGAAGTGGTGTCCGTAGGAGAACCGACACCACTGTTAGCGCTTGAGTCTCGCGATCTCGAGCGCCTTCTCTTCGGCGATGGTTCATCTGACTCATCAGATGAACCAAAGATGCTGCGACGCAAAGCATCGTCCATGCCACGCTTGGCAGGCGGCTTGGATTCAATTGCCGTCGATATAGATCCGTCGTCCGTATCAGGAGAGTACGAGACACCGAGCTCGTACTCTGTGAAGACACGAGTGTCTTCATGACCAGCGCCTGCATCACCAGGTGATACAGGCTGAGTCGCTTCAGCAACCGATGGGACATCAGTTGCTGTAGTTTCTGCTTCGGCGTCCGCACAGAGACGTGCAGACGCGCTCTCGGCGGCCTTGCTCGCGCATCGCATGGGCTTGTTAACCATGCGATGAGATGTTGGAAAGTGGACTCGGACCAACAAGTGCAAAACCTGTCCCAAATGATTTGGGACGAGTATCCATTTAGTCAATCAGTCACTAAAGTGACTGATGGTCAAGAGGGGGGGTGATGTAACGGGGTGAATCGTTGCATAACAATTTATAAGAAATTGTTAATAGAATATAACTATAAGAGTTATATTCTCAGAATATTGTCATAAGGACAAATATTCTGTTGCACTTACAAGTAGTTCCTAATTGGTTGATATAGGCCATTATATCAACCAACGAAGACGCGCCACGACAGACGCACGCAATGAGTGGTGAACAGATAATTGATTTACACATTTGTATTTAGACGTAGTTAGATGAAGATAAATAGTGCTTTATTGCAGACATTAACTATTATAAACACAGTTCTACTTTTTACTTTAACCAAGTACTCGCTTCTTCTTACCGTCTTTCTCTGCACGTAACAGTGTACGTGAAGTTACGAGGCACCGCCTTATTCTGTCATCAGAATAAGTAGCTTGTACTGTCACCAGTACAAGCTTCAGTGTAACGGGGCACCCTGAAGCTTGTACTGGTGACAGTACAAGCTACTTATTCTGATAACAGAATAAGGCGGTGCCTCGTAACTTCACGTACACTCGTACGTGCAGAGGAAGACGGTAAGAAGAAGCGAGTACTTGGTTAAAGTAAAAAGTAGAACTGTATTTATAATAGTTAATGTCTGCAATGAATCACTATTTATCTTCATCTAACTATGTCTAAATACAAAATGTGTAAATCAGTTGATCTGCTCACCACTCATTGCGTGCGTCTGTCGTGGCAGTCTTCGTTGGTTGATATAATGGCCTATATCAACCAATTAGGAACTACTTGGAAGTGCTACAGAATATTGTCCTTATGACAATATTCTGAGAATATAACTCTTATAGTTATATTCTATTAACAATTTCTTATAAATTGTTATGTAACGATTCACCCCGTTACATCACCCCCCTTAACCATCAGTCACTTTAGTGACTGATTGACTAAATGGATACTCGTCCCAAATCATTTGGGACGGGGTTTGCACTTGTTGGTCCGCGTCCACTTTCCAACATCTCATCGCATGGTAAACAAGCCCATGCGATGCGCGAGCAAGGCCGCCGAGAGCGCGTCTGCACGTCTCTGTGCGGACGCCGAAGCAGAAACTACAGCAACTGATATCCCATCGGTTGCTGAATCGACTCAGCCTGTATCACCTGGTGATGCAAGCGCTGGTCATGAAGACACTCGTGTCTTCACAGAGTACGAGCTCGGTGTCTCGTACTCTCCTGATACGGATGACGGATCCGTATCGACGGCAATTGAATCCAAGCCGCCTGCCAAGCGTGGCATGGACGATGCTTTGCGTCGCAGCATCTTTGGTTCATCTGATGAGTCAGATGAACCATCGCCGAAGCGAAGGCGCTCGAGGTCGCGAGACTCGGGCGCTAACAGTGGTGTCGGTTCTCCAATGGACACCACTTCACAGCGAGGTGCCAGTACTTCTGTCGGCACGTCGCAGGAAGAGCGGGACCGCAATGTGTTGCGTCTCGCTCCAGAAAAGAAGGCATGGATGCCTCCAAAATCCGTCATGGATCACTTGTCGGCGACGACGAGTGATCGTTATCGAACACGATTGTTCGATTCGTCAAGGATCCATCACCTTGACCCCAGCGCGAAAGACTATCGCGCTGAACATGAGTTCTTCATCGATGCTTTCTTCAGACATCGATGGTACAGTGGGAATCACAAACGTGATGGTCCCTCACTACTTCAGGCGTGGAACGCCTACATCCATAACCTCGAGGATGTAGGTCGTGACGCTTGAACGACAAACTTATCAAAGCTCGTGATAAGTTTGAAAAGCGAACCCCCGACAGGTGCACGCTACAAGCTGCATCGTCTGTCAAGGGAGAAAGGATTACCCTGCCTCTCTTGGGGAGACTCGTGCCCATGTTGTGTGAACAACTCTGCACGAGCACCTAAGGAGGCTTACCTCCTTACCAGCCCGTGGTGGCGCGTATCGTGTCTCTACTGAGATGTACGAAGGGATTGACAACCTGAAATCCCTTTACGACCGTGCCGGGAAGACTTTCTCCGGCGGTCCTTCTGCGGCACAGGATGTGCCGCGTCGTACTGCTCGACCAGACCCAGTACGTCAACCATCAATTGGGAGCGGGGCTCCCAAGAATCCCAGGACGGGGGATAGCCGCGCCACCGGACGAGGTAACTCGTCCGACGTCCGTTCACGTCGCGGTGGTTCAACAGCTGCTCAACTAGATAGCGCTGGCCACCGCGAGAGTCCTCTAATGGAGGTGGAGGAGGAGGAAAGACGCTCTCCACACGATCATGTGGATCGGTGTGTTCCCGAGAGCTTCTTTGATCGCGTAACGCAAGGGTTACGCGACGATCTCGAGCATGAGCGGAATAGGCGTCTCCAGATGGTGGACACTGCCTCGAAGCATCGAGCTGAGTTTGCCTTTGCTCAGCTTGAGAACGAGAGATCTCTGACATCTCTTCGTGACGAGCTAAGGGTAGCTCGTGGGATTGTTGATCGGTCTCGGGCTGAGATAACTGCTCTTCAGACCCTTGTTGATGCCCACCATCGGGAGCACAAGGCTCTCTGCGAGATGCTTGAGCGCAAGGGCGTTCTTCATCGGAAGAAGCAGCGTACTGATGGTACGGCTTAAGCCGACCAACGTAAAACGTGGGATGCGTTCGCATCTTACGTGGTAACTCGATCGTGTATGCATTGCCTAGGCGGTGCAATACACGAAATGGGCCAATGTACTTGGGTAGTAGTTTACTGCTACCCAAGTTAGTCACTACATGTTTTGGTAGATTAACCGTAGACAGTAGGACTAAGTCACCTTTATTAAATAAAAGAGTGTTTGCCCTTCCATTCTTGTCAGCGTTTTGCTTTTGCTTATCCACCGCTTCGGCGATGGAGTCTTGCACAAAACGGACTACCGTTTCACGAGCCAGTATGAACTCATCTGATGACTCGTTAGCTTCAGTGTGCTGTGAGCGCACTGCAGCAACAACAACCTTTTCTTCAGTGAGGGCTTCCGCACTCTCACTGGCATCATTGTCTTCAGTGAGGGCTTCCGCACTCTCACTGGCATCATCTTCTTCGATATCGATGTTATCGATATCGGCATCAAACGCAATGACTTCCTCGTCAGAGCGTGATGAGCGTGAACCAAATCGGTTTTTGCTCGCGCGAGTCCCTCCCCCCCTTAAACCAGAGTTACACTCTAGTAAGGTGGGTACACGCGGATGGCGCAAGCCATTCACGTAAAACGGTGTATGCGTCGTGGACGCATGCACCGAGTTGTTGATGGCAAACTCTACCATTGGCAAAAACTCACTCCAACTTTTAAAGGAGTGTACGTATCCTCGAAGTATCTCTTCAAGGACACGATTGGCACGTTCCGTCTGACCATCTGACTCTGGATGATCAGATGTTGACATCTTCAAGCGCGTTCCGAGTGATTTGAACACGGAACGCCAGAAATCAGCAGTGAATCGTGGATCTCTGTCTGATACGAGTTCACGGGGCAACCCATGAAGTCGGAAGATGGTGTCAATAAAGACACAAGCACAGCCACTTGCCGTGATTGTCTCTGGTACAGCCACAAGGTGTACCATTTTGCTGAATCTGTCAACAAATACGAGAATACCTGTATTCCCGCGTGCGTCTTTGGGTAACCCGGAAGACGAAATCCATTGAGATGGATTCCCAGCACTCAGCCGGAACCGGTAGAGGCTGTAAAGGGGCACGCAGTGAAGGACTTGACTTCACTCGTTGGCAGACTTCGCATGCGCGAACATACTTTCGCACAAACTGATACTGGCGGGGCCAGTAAAAGTCTCGACTTACCGTGAGATATGTTTTCTCTCGGCCACGATGTCCTCCTATAGGAGCATCGTGATACTCGAACATGATCCGCAAACGCAGATCAGTATCATCTGGAATGACAACACGTGGTGTGTCACCAGAAACGGCTGTATAATACAGTAAACCGTTACGAGTAGTGTATCGATCTGATGCAGATCGATACGCAGGCGACAATCGTTTCAACGATTCTCGGGATGGTTGGGAGAGATGTGACAACAACTTCACTATCTCACCATCTTGGGCGTATGCCCGCCTCACATCATCATACAACATTGTAGATGGGACTGAGGACGTCATAACCGCAACAGTGACTGTCTCGCTGTTGGGTTTCGCGACTGTTTCAAGGTCGGGACGACGTGAGAGTGCATCAGCGACGACATTAAGTCGTCCTGGTTTGTACTCGACCGTAAAGTTGTATTCCGCAAAGAATGACAACCACCGCGCCATTCGTTGTGAAAGGTGTGGGCTGTTCACTGCCGTGCGTAAGGACGCATGGTCAGTGTAAACAACGAAGGGTCTATCTCCTAATAGATAGACTCTGAACTTCGCTAGTGCATACTTCATGGCAAGGAGTTCCTTGTCATGCACTGGATAGTTCCGCTCAGCTGGTTGCAGCTGACGCGACTGATAGCAGACGACGCGTTCAACGCCTTCAAGGTCGTACTGCATTAATGCACAGCCGATTGCGAAATCGCTGGCATCACAGACCACATGAAATGGCCTGTCCTGATCGGCTATTGCTAGGACTGGGGATTGTATCAAGCTCTGCTTGATACCCTCAAAGGAGCGTTGACATTCAGCGTTCCATAACCACCTCTCGTTCTTTTTCAACAAACGAGAGAGGTGCACAGTCATCTCGGCGTAATTGCGTGAATACTTATGCAAATACGCCGCTAGCCCAAGGAATTTTCGAAGACCTTTGACATCGACTGGCACAGGCCAGTCGGTGATCGCCTTGATCTTTTCGGGATCAGGACGTACACCGTTCTTACCAACGATGCACCCAAGAAGTGGTATTTCGCTTGCTGCAAATATACACTTCTTGAGGTTAGCATACAATTGATGCTTTCGCATGATTGTAAGAACTTGTCGGACGTGGTACCTGTGAACCTCAACGTCCGACTTTCCATCCATAGCTCGACTATGGATGAATACGTCATCGAAATAACTCGGCGCGAACTCTCGTACTGGTCTCAACAGATGTGATACACATCTGTTGAACGTGGCAGGGGCATTACTGAGCCCTTGTGGCATTACTAGCCATTCCCAGAGCATGCCGCTAGGCGTGCTAACTGCGGTATAGGGTATATCCCGTTCCCGCATTAGGATTTGATAGAAGCCATCCATCAAATCCATGGACGAAAAGATGGTACTCTTTGACATACCATCAATGATTACGTCCTTCCTCGGTATCGGCGTCTGAGCCGGTACCGTTGCAGCGTTCAATTTGTTGAACGCGTGCACTATCCGCCACCCTCCTGTTGCTTTTCGCACACAGAAGGTCGGAGAGCTATGTGGGGAAGTTGATTCCCTCACATGGCCCGCTGCTAAACGATCGGCAAAGAACTTGTCGATCGCAAGTACTTGTTCACGAGGCAGTGGCCACTGCTTCATGACACAGTACTTCGAGCCTGGTTTAAGCTCGACTTCGTGTCGAATACCTTTATCCTTCGGTAATTCGCACGGAACAGTTTCAGGGAATACATCCTTGAATTCAACCAAATCCTCATAGAGAGGGTTTTCCTTGAGCGATTCCCATGATTGGGACTCATATCGCTCAATTCGTGTCTTTTCATCTAGGACACTCTCGTCCATAGATGAACTACTGAGAACTCTCTCGTTCTCAGTAAACACTGTTGCTGACCTTATGTCGGTTACATACTCGTCGTCAGCGACGAGTATGCAGATCTGCTTGACTTTGCCACTACGCAGATCACGCAAGAACCTTTTATGTTCGAGCGTTGGCAACTGAGTGATCTCCGAAGTTAACTTCGGAGGCGCAATCAGATCAAGTGTATAAGCGCCTACACATGATCCGTTATTGACTATGACATTCAATGTCTCTGTCATTTCCTGGGGACTTATTCCCTCAGGCTTCGAAGGACTTATTCCTTCGTCTTCCCGGGGACTTATTCCCGCGGGTTTCGGGGAACTTATTTCCGCCGTATTTGTAATCTTGGGACTTATTCCCTTTACTTCCTCTAGCTGGGGTTGCGCAACCACAGCGAGATCCTCTACGAAAGACTCTCCAGTCGATCTAGGATTATCGTTTCGCTTAACCTGAGCGATCGATTGTTTCTCTTCTAGATGTTCCCCTCTAGGGATACATCTTTGTCCCAGTCCACCCGACTTATTCGAGTGGTGGACCTTCGGCGCAGCCTGTGTTTCCCTCACAGCCGCCGGAACTTTGCTCCGAAGTGTAACCGTTTGGTACACTAAGGTTTTGTGCAGTCGTACTAACGACCGTACCACAAGTGAGGCCATCGCACTCACTCGTAGTACATCCACACGCTTGTGGACGCTCCAAAACGTTCATCAGATGGCCATCTGATGAACAAGCGGCAGGCATCGTTACTGTCCGATGTTGCCAGTTTACCCGTGGTTCGTACCTTCTGAGCCACGGTATTCCAAGGATGACATCAAATTTGTCATCCAAATCCAATACGATAAAGTCATCGTCATATTGGGCATCTTCTAGCGTATAGTGAATCTTCACTATACGCTTCATGACGGTTACGGATGCGCCTGTCGCAAGACGTACCGTCATCCTCGTAGGAGGTGTGTCACATTCACTGAATTTAAAGTGACCATCTTCTAGCGATTGGCGTCGCACAAAATTGTTAGACGCCCCACAATCGACTAGAGCTCGAAGGGACAACTTATTCGTCACTTCGAGTTTCAAGGTAATGAGTGAGATCTCATTACCTAGAGCAGCAACGCACAATGTCTGTGTGTTGGGAGCAACCTTCATCAAGAGGCCTACAAATTCTCTTGACGTTGCTGGATCAGTAGGGTGCTCCGCACCTACTGATCCTGTCCGTTTTTTGACGGTCCATCCCGTTGTTGCGTCTTTGCACCAACTGCGGACCCTCGTCCCTGCCCCTTTCTCATGGGTGGACGGTCACTACGCCCAGTGTCGCGAGACACTGGACGAGGGGCACTACACTCGTAAGCGTAGTGTCCTGTCTTTTGACATCTGTTGCATCTCTGCAACTTCTTGTAGCCTGTAGAGCGAGCCTTCTCGCTCTCTACATAACAGAGTTCCATCGGCTCTGGACCTCCGTTGTCATATCGTCTCGGTTGACGATATGATGTCGAGCTGGCGCGAGCCTGTCTCAGACTGAAGTCTTCCTGCTCCGCAATTGAAATGGCTTGTTCTAGTGAATCTAGTTCAAGCCGGAACAGGTGAGTCTTGACGGGACCATCCGCAAGACCCTGCATGAACACCGAAACCAACGTGTGTTCATCCACCGGATTGGAACTTATACAACTCGTGAGATGTCGTATATGTTGAGCGTAAGCGTGCACATCACGCTTACCCTGCTTGAGCTTCAAGAGTTCGGTTCGAGCTCTGAACTCAGCTCTAGGCGGTTCAAACGTTTGTCTGAGCCGCGACTTGAAGACTTCCAACGACCCAAACGCATATGGGTCGTGCAGCTTGAGCCCCAGTGCCCAAGTCTTGGCACGTCCTGCCAGATTTGACTGGGCAAATGCAACTTGCATATCCCCGTCGTCGATGCGACGCGCCCTTATGGCGTCATCCAATTCGACGAACCATCTCAAGAGGGAGTCTTCTTCGACCCCCTATACTTTGAGATGTCAATCTTCAAAGTCTCGGGTCGACGCGAGTGCATCGACCCGCCAGCAGCAGCCTGCTGCTGTCTCAACAGTTCAAACTGTTGAGCACCTTGTTCTCTCAACAACTCTACTTGTTGAGAACCTTGTTGGTGAAGCAAGGCTACTTTCTCGCGTTCTGCGTCAAGTTCATTTTGAATGAACTTGGCGATAGTAGCATGTTGGGCATCTCTATTGAGAGCCTCTAGCATGACGCTAACAGCATGGATGCCCATGGTCGAACCCATTCGTTCAACCGCATCCCATTCGACATCGCTCAAATGGGAGTAGCCGTCACGCGTAGCGTGAAAGCTTTGGTCATCTTCATCATCCAACATATTCATGTTGGATGTGAACGCGGTCCTTGGACGGACTACGAAGTGCTACCAGGTGTAACGGGGCACCCTGAAGCTTGTACTGGTGACAGTACAAGCTACTTATTCTGATAACAGAATAAGGCGGTGCCTCGTAACTTCACGTACACTCGTACGTGCAGAGGAAGACGGTAAGAAGAAGCGAGTACTCGGTTAGAGTAAAAAGTAGAACTGTATTTATAATAGTTAATGTCTGCAATAAATCACTATTTATCTTCATCTAACTATGTCTAAATACAAATGTGTAAATCAGTTATCTGCTCACCACTCATTGCGTGCGTCTGTCGTGGCGCGTCTTCGTTGGTTGATATAATGGCCTATATCAACCAATTAGGAACTACTTGGAAGTGCTACAGAATATTGTCCTTATGACAATATTCTGAGAATATAACTCTTATAGTTATATTCTATTAACAATTTCTTATAAATTGTTATGCAACGATTCACCCCGTTACATTCAGGGTGCCCCGTTACAAATATGGTATCAAAGTTGACAACTCAATACCTAAAGGAGACACAGAATTGTATGTAAGTGCGATGAAGGGCATTGAGAAAGAGGAAGTGGAGAGCATCACATCCAGGCTGCAAAACTCGAGGATTGCGAGTTGGGAAGTAGACGTAGAAGTCATTGACAAGCATGACCCGGCGATGACGGTGATCAGGACAGTAGTACGTTTTGTGATGATAAATCTCTCGCCCATGCACTCACCGTAGCAAATGTAAATCTCGAAACGAAAGTGGTGGCTACAGAGCTGCAAACGGCGCAGATAAAGTTTTGGGTACGGCAAAAGATTGATTTGACACCCGCCGAGGCATGGATGGAAATGAATGGGCCAACTTTGCGCGAGCAGAAGTACGCTTTGAACGAGCGGTACGTAAGTGTTTCTTCTTGGAGTGGGCTTGATCTTGCAACACGGGCATTCTTTTCAGGCAGGAAGAAGTCATGCAAACTACACGAAATAGCTGTCGAGAACATGTTAAATGCCGATAAGCTGTTGGAATTTTGACGGCTGGTACACGAAAGATACAGTGGCATTGGTCTTGATCGCGGTGAAGGACGTAGAGGATAAGTGCTTGAAGAGTGATGCAGCCAGACTACTATATCAGCAGATTGAAGAGTGGGAGAAGCATATAGCTTCATCTGACTACGTGTTCAAGGTTCTCGAGCTCGGCAAAACGCGTAATTGGTCAGCGATCGATATCTCTTTTTGGCTGCTAAGTCGCTTTGTCTTGATCTGGAGTTTGCAAATCGTGGACCGTGTCACTAACAAGGACCCAAAGATGAAGATGGTGGAGATGATATGCACCTTAGATCGTTTCCACGAACTAGCTGGATCAGTTAATTTATTCAGCGCTGCGAATAAGATTGAAAGTTTGAACGAAGTTGCCAAGAGTTGCAGACGTCTTAGATAGAACTATGGATAAACCGCGACTACCACCTTTGGGATACATGTAACTTGATGGTCGTCAAAGTAGCAGCATACGATGGTAAGCAGATCTAAATGCTTCATAACTACAGAGACACCCACACGCCGCAATTGTACAGGACATAGGATGGCGAGCGCAATTATATCTTCGTTTCTGTGGAAGCAGTTCCAGCAAACGTTGAGTACTCTTTCGCCATATTACGTTGTAAATTGTAGAAAATACAAAAGCTCGGTCAAGACGGTTGTCAGGACTCAGAAGACGTTCAATTTAATCGCTAGCTCAACACAAACTTCTGTTCTCACGAGGAACACTTGCACCTACCATATTGCACGGTGCACGTATGTTCTATGCAGTAGGTCGAAATTGAACTCGTGATCTCACCGTCCAAACACGCTGGAGGTGGCAAGCATGTCTCCTTGAGAAAAGCACATTTTCACTGATTAAGGTTAAATGAAGAGCGTACGATGAGACACTCCTTTCCACGCGTGATGCGCCAAACTTCGTGTTTGTTTAGGTGCAATAGTACGAACACACGAGCTAAAACTCATGAGTTTGGTATGTATCTACTGGGGCCATCTACTCTGCGATAAAGCTGGATACAGCAGAATGAAGTACATACAAGTACCTCTTTTTATGATCTTGTCTGAAGCCAATAACTCTCTTATCTTTGTCTTGACCTCAATCAGCGACATCAGGACGCTTGAAAATTGCAAAGAACGGCGCGAATGCTATCAGCACGTGACCCTTGATACGCAGAGTGAGGCCATTGATGTCTCTTATGTCAAAAATTCATTGCGTTGTCTGCAAGGAGACTCATGGAATGATCACAGTATCTACTTCAGTGTCCTCTGTGACTCAGTTTTTACACATGTGACAAGCTGCTTGCATAGCCTTGTGACGGCGTTGGTGTCGCATGTACCTGCATAGCAAGGATTTTACTCCAACACTACTTTATATAGTTCTTTGTTGCGTAGAAGGTAGGTATAGCTCATACTGTGCGTTGATAAAGAGCCTTCCGTTTCCGCTCATGGGACTTTACCCCCACATGTTAAATTGAAGTAAGAGGCCTCTCACCAGCCAGATTGTAAAGCTTGACTTAAACATCTAACCTCCATTCGTTATACATCCTTGGCACCTGCTACACGCTCCTTTTACTGTCGAAGCGCGTCAACTCAACCCTCTCTTAAACCATCTAGATTGGCTTCATCAGTCAAAACGGCTGAAATTGAATCGGTCGACAACACTCATGAAGCGCTTGGATAGCATACACTTCTGGAGGGCTATGTCACAACCGATCACAGGGTGAAATGGGTGGGTAATCGCTAGGAAGGTGAGGTGAAAGCATTCAACCTGTAGCGCTTATTGGTGACGGCTGCTGTTCTTGCGCCGCAATCGTGGTGCAGCTGGAGTATTCTGACCTCGAATTGATACGTTCGGATCGAGACAAGTTCTTGGATGATCGCAGAGGGTGATTGTTACTTGCACATATCCAGACTCAATCTCTACGGATTCCAAAACCACAACTTTGTTGCTCAATATCAAGTCAATTACCATAAACCTGCGACGTCAAGCTGTTTTATCCTGTAGTTCATTGTGCGGTTGCTGTGCTCGATATCGGATTGTTGACGGAGATGAAGGTGGAACATAGCCGACGTTGACCGTATCGAGATTACTTGTTGTAAGCCGTCATACCGTACTTACATCTTCATAACGAACATATTCGAGTCAAATGCACTCTATAACGAAGCAATCCGAGCAGGTCATTGTCGTGCATAATCAACAATGTTCCACACGCAAGCGATGCAGCGATCTGCATCTGTTTCTCCATTTTGCATTCTTGTGCTTGATCAATTCACCATAGAGCACCACATCGAACACAGTGAAGACAACGCTTCATAATGACAAGCACCATCGTTTGCTTTTTGCTCGATTGCAGCAAGCAGTTGTGCGTCTCGCTCCTGCTGAAGCTGTTGCTGCTCACGATACAACATCTCGAGTCACAGTACCTGCTCGAAGGACTCAGTTGCCACTTGCAAATACCAGCACACTATTCTCCTTCCGTGTCGCAAACTACTATACGCCGCCCGGCTCTGCGTGTGCTTGTAGCACACGACCTCCTCGTTAGTGCCAGACTTGCGCAACACCGTCACGTTCCCTGCTTTCAAGTGACTCTGCAGCAGCAGATTCGTTCGCGCCCCTGACACGCGACTTCTGCCTTGTCCAGTCGAAGCGACTCGTCCGACCGCAACTCCATCCTCGCATGCAGCCACCTGACGACGAATAAGGCGAGACGAGATGGACCAAAACTGCCACTATGCTCTTGTCGAGTGACTCGATGCCTCTGTAGTCAGAGGCTAAAAAGGTGCTGTAAGAGGCTGAAGATGCTCGGTTACAGGTCGTGCGGGACAATGACAAGAATGTGTTGTAACAGAATAATCGTCGTTAACGATGACTTGACATATAGCCATCTCGCTATCTCCCTGTTCTTCTCTATCTCTATCTGCCATTCTATCTCTATCTGCCATTTCTATCTCTATCTGCCATTCTATCAGTATCTATCTCTCTATCTGCCTCCCTACTCCTTTATCTCTATCTCTATCTCCACGCGAACACCAAAAGCACCGACTGTCGCATGTCGCAACAGGAGCTCCGCTGGATGCAATACGTCATGCGTTTGCCCAGACCAGGAGCTGCAACTTGCATCGCGAAGGTTCCGTCGTGGCCGTTGACGCGCTTCTGTTCCAGTCAAAGCTCCTCCAATCGATGACGACTGACGCACTAACGGAGTTTCGACTGGAAGCGACGCGACGGAACGAGACGATGGGCGCGAGTGGAGACGTGAAGCGAGCGAAGCGCTTGAGGCAGTGCGTCGTGTGTCAAGACGCGCAGTTTGTGGTGCTTGACAAGCCTCAGGGACTGACACTGCAGGTAGAACGAAGAGAGCAGGAGCAGCTGCTTGAATGGAGGTGCTCGCTTGCTGTGGAGGAGATGGTCGTGGAGAGAGAGGGAAGCAAGGCAAGGACGTGACATGTCTGTGTGTTTGTGCGTGTTCTCGTGCTACTTCTGCTGCTGTTGTTGATGGATGCTTCGGGGCGGCTCGACGTTGACAAAGTCGCTGGATCGGTACTTGCCATTGCTTGCCAAGGTGATGGGTAGTGGCTTCTGCCAGCAAGCGAAACACATCGACGATGACGACCAGCAAGAGACGCTGCGACTGGTGGATCGACTGGACAAGGAGACGTCGGGTGTGCTGGTGCTGGTGCGTTCTCGTCTTGCAGCTACCAAGTTCTCGGCGCTGCTCCGAAGTGGGGCCGTGCATAAGACGTACGAGGCACTCGTGGCAAGACGCTCGTCAAAAGACCAGAGCTGCTCGAGATGGACAGAGTGGGAAGGGCAAGAGATCCATGACCCAGTGGACGACAAAACTGCTTGCACGTTAGTGGAGCGCGTACTGCAGCGGAACGAAGGCCGCTACACCGAGCACAGTGGTAAGACCGCCTGGCTGCAGCTCCGACCTCGCACGGGTCGCAAGCATCAACTTCGAGTGCACTGTGCACAAGCACTCGAGGCGCCAATTGTCGGGGACACCAAATATGGCGGACGACGAGCCAATCGACTCTATTTACATTCAGCACGGATTCGCTTCCTGGGCCCTTTTGCTGAGGGATCGTTCGTCGACGTGAAGTGCGAGATGGAGCCTAGAAAGCGACCGGATCCCTGTCGCATTCAAGGTTCTAACATTGTGGACCATGTCGGGACTTACTAGATTGACACCGTACAATTGCAATGACGCTTTTGCTAGTGCTACTTCAAGGTCCACCTACTTCATTAGAAAAGACCTCTTCGCAGCGTCTCATAGGCTCATTTTTATAAAATATCAGTCATGCCCACATTGCAAAGCAGCAATCCGTTGTCACTTTTGACATGAGACTGGGCACAGCATATCGCAACGACCGTGCCTGGATGGACGGACACGCGACAGCTGCACGAAGAAGTCCAATTCCAACTGCTTGGAAACAAAGCGACGGAATTGAACAGGCACAACACGGGTGTAGTAGCGCAGAACCGTGTTACTTCCATGTCTGTGTGTGGGACGATACGAGCAATAGGAAGTTTCTAGTAGGTTTCGTAAAAGTTAGCGAATAAAACCTTCAAACCGCCGTGGCCGTTGGGGCACGACAGGACATGGAAACGATGCGACTGAGCGGCAAACGATCGAATGGTACACTAGCTGGATGAAGTATGTATCGTACCTGAGAATGTGGGGTGACCGATAAGGTGTGTGTGCACGCAAAGATGCGACTTGCCCACCACTCACGTGCGTCCGCGCACCAAGCGGTTACTTCCAATCGCCAGCGAGGTAAAATCAGAGCGTTGCACTGCACAGACAGCGCATGACGCGATTGTTTTCTTGACCGTTTCGTCGCTCTCGCGGATCGTCCATACGCGTCAGAATTGACGAATATAGTTTTGTGGTTGTATTCTGTCAGTGTGAAAGTAAGTAAAGTCTGAGTTGAAACTCAAGCGCGGCTGTGCGAAGCCAAGCACGACACACCACCTTCTGGCAGCTTTGAGATTCTCGTGTGCAGCTTTGCAACGCGAAACCCAATCAACAGGCATCAAAGCGTGCCGTCACTATTGAGCGATGCTAGCTGAATCTGCAAATGAGAGAGATTCCAAAGATGTCGACTCGTAGTCTGGAAAGGAAGTGCACAGCTTCAGCTGGCGCGAGTCTAAAGGCGTCGATTCGACATGTCGCGAGTGTGCCCGACTTCGTGTCGACGGTGAAGTTGAAGTGTGGTGAATTTATTCTAAGATGTGGTGATATTGTGAGTGCGGCGAGACCCGACTGACCAATTAGAATCCACAAAAAGTTGGGTAAAGTCGAATGTTTTTTGGCGTTTTCACGAGAACATTAGCAGTGTCGTGCCAACCCAGACTCGCTGAGTTCCGGGACTTCAGACCGGCAAATATGCGTAGAAAATCGCGGCTTCAACGATCTTTCACCGGCGTCCATAATCGACGCCAACTGTACGCCTGGGAAGCTGAAGGCTCTCGAAGTCATCCGCCAGTGGTTTCACGACGCTGCGAGAATTTGAAAACCGATCGTATCCACTGGATTTCAGTATACCACAGACATTTTTCTGCTCAGATTTGCCGAAAATAAATTAAAGGAGACAACTTCGACCTCAGATACCAATCAGCAGCCTCGCGCTCACATTGATATCCAGGCAACAACGTGACGTGGGGATTACGGTCGATTTATCCTGTCCAGAACCACCGAACGTTCGAATAACTTTGGCAGCTCCAACGTGGTCCATAGCATGGTCTCCGCTGCGTGCCCCATTGACTCCAAAGACTATTCAGTGCACCCATCCTCGATGTTACACAACTTTAGCATTGCATCCCACGAGTCAAAGTCACGCAGTTTACAGCGTTGTACGTCTGGTCTCAGCCATGGCTTGCAGATGGACGTGCAACAGGCCGTGCGGCTTGAGAAGCAGGAGCTTGAGAGGATGGGGTTGTTGCCACGCCCTATTGACGTGGAGATGGCACTTGCTACCATGATGCCATCCATCGACGACGAGGACAACGAGGTGCGGGTTTCCTCGTCGCCGCCTTACTGGTTCTACCACCAGCAACAAACAGCGGTGTCGCTCATTCATGGACAATACGGGGACTGTCCACCATGCTCTCCACCCGTGCCGATCCCTCAACATCACCAAGGACTCCACGACGACTTGCCTTACGGTGTCGATGCTGATCAACTGGAAATATTGGGTGCTTCGCAGTGTGAAGGGCAACTCTGTGACAAGTTCTGGAACCACCGTCTGTCGCCAGTCGAGTTGCGAGAGTCGTTTCAAGCGACGATCGGTCGTTCGAGTAGGAAAGAGCTACGAGCAGAGGCGAGCGGTGATACTCGTCCGCTCGACAGGACAGCAGAGATGGGTCAGCTGGAGCACAACAAGTTTCATCCGATGTCTTCGGCTGCATATATAGTAGATGAGGAAGAGGGCGAGGACGACGGAGACGGTGAGGACTCGAGGAATTCGGATGAAGATGAGCACGTGGATTGCTATGGAGATGTGTTCGAGATGGAGGATCTCTAGCAGGAGTAGAGCTGGGGAATTTGTGGTGACGCGTGGAGAGGTGTGCAATGGCAAGAGATATCTGTGTTGGTGCATCTCGGACGGTAGTAGTGCTAGTTATGAGTAAGCGAGCGGAACAGCATGAGGTGACGAAGAGTGCGTTATTTCACAAATGAACATCCACTTTAGTAGACCGCAACGAGCTTTGAGTTGTGTGGGTTTGCTTTGACGTTATCAACTCCAAGATCCTTGTGTAGCTGACATGCAGCACATTTCGTCCATGACGCTGTGATGCAAGCAACACTAGCTTTACCTTCTACAGGTGGGTGTTGATCCAAGTCGATAGTGGGGACTTCAGGCTTTTTTGCTCATACATTCAGCAAAATAACTAAAAGAAAGCCAGAAAATCTCTGTCGGATGTGCAATGAGGTTTTCAGAGCTCTGGCAATACTTTCATCGGCATGTGACAAACCGACGGCCTTGACTGACTCGTCCAGTCGTACACCGTTCGACTCAAGCACGTTTGATACTCTACGATCTCGACACACCCAATGGAATGTGTTAGTGCATGAAAGATTACGTACGTCGTAGCATATGCAGTCGTACCGGAAGTGTAAACTGTGCTAACTTGTCCATCGCAAATTGGTAGAGGATACAGTGGAGTCAAAATAGGGGGACGTCGCAAGTCCTGGTCGTCGCCTGTTCTTGTAGGTTTGAGAAGTTATGATTACGCTAGTTTTTGCACATGCTAAAGCCTTTGTCGGTTCGTTGTAAATTTAACACTAGTTTACATACCGTATGAACGAGTGTGGCGATGCTAATCCCATCAGAAATAACAGTGCCAAGATACGCCGGCTTGAGCCTCACAGTCATCAGACGCTCTCAATTCGTCATTAGAATGCTGACTAGCACCATCGTTGAGTAGGTGTGCATGTGGACTTGCTTGGTTTCGCGCTGAAACAGTATGGCGATTGGTTAGTGAGCACAGGCATACAGATTGGAGGTTTACTTGACGACACTTTCGGGCGTTTACCGTTCCAAATTGTTCTTCGTCGTCGTCGTCCACGTAATGCTGTTGAAGACAAAGTGGTCCCGGGACAGCAATGATTATGCACAACTCATTTCAGCATACGATTCCGAGTGCACACACGTACGACGAGCAGCGCAGATGTTCCAACTCAGAACTGGTCTACTAAGAAAAATGTCATTCATGATAGGTCTACCGTTGTAAGCAGGACTATTGCAGACGACACAACTTTTTCGTACTAATGCCACCAAAAGCCCTTTCTTGTATGACCATTTATCAGCAATCGCCTTGCTGACACTCCCTCAAGGTCATCTGGTTGTAAATAGTACGTCATAACGTCCAATACCACAGCAAGTGAACCTTTGAAGATGTAAAGCTAAAGGCAACAACTCGTTGTCATCCGATAGCTTGGCTGCATCGAAACTTTGGTAGCAAGGCTCTTTGAGAACGTGTAGCCATTGGTGCCCGACTTGGTGTCGGTCATGGCCGTCAGAAGGGACTGTCAACAGAATGGTGACATAAAGGGTTGCGTTAAATACACCTACATCCATCAATAAATATACCTACATGATTTTGTAGGCATTCCATTTGACTTGAGCTAACTGTGTTAACAAATGCTGAGATTACATCCTATACAAAAAGAGAGCGGCCATGATTAGCAAGATAACGTCTACTATTTAGTCTTAGTCAGGCATCTCTTTCCTTCTTCGTAACTTTATCGTTTTCATGACGATGAGCCATCATATCTTCACTTCTTGGCGGTGTAGCTTACAACGTCAATTATCAGTCGCTCTTGCATCAGTCTCCTTTGCTATTCTTGATGCTACCATTAATGTCATTGGATACACTGATGATGACAGTAATGATACCTTCAATCCGTTCGCCCTGGCTCCATTACAAAGTCGTAAAGATGTGGAGACCCCTACCGATCGGGCCATTCAGAAGTCAAGAGTGTCCGTACCCCGAAACAAAACGCTGTGAGCCAAAAATTCGCCGTCAGAATTGTCCACACAATATCGCACGGCATCAAAAGCGTTTTCTATGTTGCTCGCAAGGGAAAACTATCGTACTTACACGGGCGGTTGGTGTCATTGCTAGACCGCGGAACTAAACTCGTTTGCAGTTTGTGTGAGTTTGTGATTTTTGACAAGAGCTTGTACAAAATTGTGCCCTGTCGACACTAATAAACAAGCGCCATTTTAAACACGTCCGACAGTTAGACAATATAAAGCTGTCAATATCACCGGCGGCATGCCGTGTGCCACTAAAAAAGACCAGATGGAGGCCGCATTTGCCCGGATGCATCAATCTGGGAATACTGCACAACAAGCTGCGCACATGTGATGAAGTTAAAATGCATTTAACACGTGCCATACCGATGCGATATCCCAGGGTCACTTAAGCACCAGTAAGAGACAAGCATCATCAGGATAGAAAGTGATGACCACACCTACTCCCAATAATCTATCTATAAGGCTCCGTGTGTGAGAACAAATGCAAAGTCTTCACCAAGACCGCGATGCTTTCGCCTGCATCCGTTTCGTACAGAATCTTTCATCATAAATGACGTTGGCATGCTCTTGCGCTCGCTAACGAGCAACCCTTAAATTCGAATGACATGAAGGGAATAAGTGTAAGCTTAAATTAGGAAAACGTTACCCCCCAGGTTTTCGTTAACTACCGACAGTCTGAATGTATAACCGTAGTCGACTCTATCAACGCCTTTTGATTGGTAGGATTGAGAATACTACCGGTCTCAAAAGTAATTTAAAATCTCATTCACGATTGATTCAATACACTAAATCTGAACATTCTATGCATGTCTTTAAGTCGGCGACGGATGGTAATTTATTTTTCAGAAACTTTGTATGACCGAGCCATTACTCTGTCAATTGTAAATTTACGCGACGCTTTCTGGAACAAGTTGGTCTTGCAATTATCCAGAAAGCCTGTATGTAACGGAAAACGCTGACTCCTCATCACGGCGTCATTAGCTGCTTCAACAAAACAATAAAGACAAGACGATGCTGGCTATAGCTCAAAGTACTTGTTGTATCTATGAAACTGGGTGCCGCCGGTATAAAATGGTATTTGTATTCTATTAGGTCAAACCGAATATTCTCAAAATTTTGGCTACATAGGCAATATCGTGTCGCAGAATTAATACACTGCTCATTGGTTGATATACAGAAAGGATTTCAATCAATAGAGTTGAGCCACGACAGAAGAACGCAATGAGTGGTGAGCAGATAATTACTTTACATGTTTGGATTTATTGAAAGGGTATTGAATATGTTGAACATAGTTCTACTTTTACCCTTTCTATCGTGTAAAAATCTTCCCTAACACGACGCGTGTACGCGAAGTATCGAGACATCACCTTGCTTCGTGTTCTGTTTAAGTATCTTGTACTGTGACAGTACAAGCGACCGGAGCCGTTACCCCTGATGGCACTTCGTAGTCCTTCCAATGACTATGAACACGATGTATGATGAAGTGAAAGACTGCCTATTCATGCACGAGTGCTGCCTTCGTTTGGGGATAATGGATGGGATGCTGTGGAACGTTTGAGTTCGACGATAGGTTAAGAAGCCGTTGTCGAGATGCTGTCCGCTCTAGGTCTAGACGGGACCGACCTTAGTGGCCGAGTGGTAGACCACTGGAACTGGGACCGGGAGGTACCTGGATCGATACCCGGTGGGGGTTCGATTACAGGGCGCCGGAGATAGGCTAATAATGTAGACGAGCAACCACCAATGGGTGGCCGGTGCCGTCCGGAGGCCCTACAAGCCGAAAAGCCCCATAGTGTAATGAGGGGTGCGGGTCCTGAAAGGAGTTCAAACTGAGTCAGAGTACTTGCAGTTCACCCCGGGGTGATCTGAAGGACCGCGCGGCGTAAATCTCTCTAGGTCTGGACGAGCAAATCGCCACCATCGCCAAGATTAAATAGAATGAACATTAAGTCCAAAGGGAAAGGCATCCTTGCTTCTCCAACAAGGGTCGTGATCGAAAGATCTGTTAAAAGTACAGAATGGTTAGTAGATCGAGTTGTTAAGACAGCAGCAGGCTGCTGCCACCGGGTCGACGTGCATGTCGACCCGCTTAATATTCATTAACATCTCTACATAAGAAGCAGCTGAAAAAGAACTCCTGCTAAGACAGTTTATTGAGCTAGATGAAGCCATAAGGACTCGCCGCATCTTCGATGCAAATGCAATTATCATTTGCTTAACTAAACTTGGCAGGGCCTCAAACTACACGATCCATTTGTCTTAGGGTCGTTAACTTCGTCGGGTACCTACTAAAGCAAACATTCGAACCACCACGATCTTAGTCAGAGCTCGCTCAAAACCCCTGAAGCTCAAACAATACAAAAGTAGTGCACGCTCGTACATTTAATACGCACGTCATCTTACGAGCTGCATCACGTCAAATTTGCCGAATGAACAAACGCTGATCTGGTTATTCATGCGGTTTTTCAAAAAAGTTCCAGTCAAGACCTGTTCAAATTAAGTTTCAATACTATTAAAGATTTAATTTGAGTTGCGCAATTAAAAAAAAGTGTAAAAATAGCTCACGTGAGCTCAAACTACTATCGTGCTTCGGGGCGTTAAAAAGCGGAGGGTTAAAACCGATGGAACTTTGTTTCGATGAGAGCGAAAGCTCTCGCGTGACCAGATACAACAGATTGCAGACATGCAATAGGTGTCAAAAGGAAGAGCACACGGCATACCTATGCACTGCCCCGAACGCGGTTCCACTTCCACACGAAATTTAAACCTTCAAGCGGCCAAGAAGGGTCCAAGGCATGCGTCCGACGCTGTTTCAAAAATGCAACAACGTAACGGGCGACTAAAAATCGTTCAGGTTAAGCGGGCGCGGAACACTTTTCTGATTCAGCAACGTCAAGTGAAATTGCAGTCCTCTTGAAGAGAATCTGCTGCAACACTCAAACATTGTGTGTCACTCCATCTGATAATGAGGTTTCTGTAAT